CCGTCATCCACTTCCGACTCCACGTCGCTTCCATCACCTGCAGGGCTGAACCCTAAACCCTAAACTGGCCCTAAACCCTAAACCCTGAACCCTAATTTGGCGGCACGGTGGTTGCTGAAGCCCTGGAAGAATCAGACACCCCAAGCGTGCTGACTGTAAACCCTAAACCCTTATGAAGTACCATGAACCTCCAGGTAGAACCCCGAGCGACGCGCCTGAGCCGTAGACGTCCCCCCGCAAGGTGGAGCATGAACCGCGGCCGGGCACCTGATCAGGGTTGAGGGTTGAGGGTTTAGGATTTGGGGTTAGGGTTTGGGGTTTAGGGTTTCGACCCTCAGGGTTGAGGGTGACTTAGATGCGCGGTTTTGGGTTGAGGCTTACTTGGAGGTTCATGGGTAGTTATAAGTGGGGTTACAAGTAGGGTAGCTACACTTATGACTGGTTCTAACCTTCTTAAGTGTACTTATAACCCTACTTAAACTACCCCGGACCCTCCAACTAAGTAGGGTTTAGGGTGTAAGGGCACAGTTGAGTTGGGAATGTCCACCCACGCTCGGACAATCCAGGTCATGCCAACGGTTTTCCTGGCACCGATGGCAGAGCAGCAATTCTCAACACGAGCTTCTGCAGCTAGCAAGATTTGTACCCCTAAACCCAGGCTCACCCTGAATCGTCTAAACTGTCTAAACCCTGAAAACACCGAAAAACCTGAAAGCTCTCACTACACCCCGACTGGCCCTTTTGCCGAAACCCCTAAACCCAGATTCATCTCCAAGCAGCAGCATCTCACCCCATCGTCACCCCTAAACCCTTTTTTGCACCCGTGCTGAGGCTGAGGACCCCTAAACCCTAAACCCCTAAACCCTACATCTAAGGTTGGGAACCATGGGCCCTTAGTATGGTACCTTATTGTTTGAAGGGATTTAAACATGATCCGAAGTATGGGCCCTTATGTAGAAGAGTAACAAGCGACCCAAATTCAGTGCCCATACTTCGGATCCCCTACCCTAAACCCGAAACCCTAAACCCTAAACACTAAACCGACTGATCAGGTGACTGCAGGATCTTAGGGCTGCTTCCCCGACCAGCCTTTGGAGCTGGCGGTGGCCCTGCCGGCAGCGGCCCCGCCGATGGCCGGGGCAGTTCCTCAGGAGTATGGGGTTTAGGGTTTAGGGTTTCAGGGTTTAGGGTTTAAGGGTTTAAGGGGTTAAGGGTGTAAGGGTTTAAGGGTTTAAGGGGTTAAGGGTTTAAGGGTTTAAAGGTTTAAGGGTTAAGGGTTCAGGGTTTCTGCAGCACCATCTCCGAAGAGCGAATATCGGGCGCCAGCGTGAAACAATTAGGGTTCAGGGTTTAGGGTTGCCTTTTATACCCTGAAAAGGGAGGCGTACCGGAATTCTTGGGGGAGGTTCGCCCGTGTTTTTTGAGGGTGCAAGATTAGGGCGGTTCGGGTAGGTCGAAAGGGGCGTTCTCGGTTCGAAGTCTATAATTACATACTAAACCCTAAACCCAAATTAAACACTTCACCCAGCCTTGCCACAAAACCCTAAACCCTAAACGCGAAACCCTATCCCCTAATGTGTAGGTCGCGTTTATCAACCCCCACTCCGGCGCTGGGGGGGGGGGCTGGGGGGGGGGGGGGTGGGGGGGGTGGGGGTTTGGGGGGGTTTTTGGGGGGGGGGTTTGGGGGGGGGGGGCGGGGGGGGGGGGGGGGGGGGGGGGGGGGGGGGGGGGGGGGGGGGGGGGGGGGGTTTGTGGGGTGGGGGGGGTTTGGGGGGGGGGGGGGGGGTTTGGGGTGGGGGGGGGGTGGGTTTGGGGGGGGGTGGGGGTGGGGTGGGTGAAGGCGGGGGGGTTTTTTGGGTTTGGGGGGGGGGGGGGGGGGGGGGGGGGGGGGGGGGGGGGGGGTGAGGGGGGGTGGGTGGGGGGGGGGGGGGGGGGGGGGGGGGGGGGGGGGGGGGTGGGGGGGGGGGGGGTTGGGGTGGGGTTGGGGTGGCCTCTTCTGGTCGATGTACCTAGTAGTACTAGAGAGAGCCAGTCTGCCTCGACTGACAAGAGTTTGTAACAGGAGTTCTCTCAAAGCATATTTGGGAAATTCTCCCCGGAACCTTCCCACTACTGCCGCCCCATTTTTTGATTATCACCCCGACAAAAATGGGGTTTCAGGCTCCCAACAAACTGACGTAATGGAAATCGTTCATGAAACAAAATTTTGGGCCAAAATCCCGGCCGGAAAAGTTCCCATTAGTTCCACCCGGATATTGGTGCTACCTCCGCTACCTCAACAATAGAGGGTTTCACAGGGAGACAGGGTGCCTCATTTCCTCATTCCCTACTTAGAGCCCTGTGAGCAACAAACGGGTGTCCAGCATCCCACTAGTCCGGTCTCGCACCCAAAAAACCCTGCACCAAGAGTCCCCAAATCCTAGACCCTAAACCCTGAATCCTAAACCCTAAACCCCAGACCGTAGACCCTAGACCATAAACCCGAAGCCCTCCAAGCCCTGAACTCGAAATCCTGAACCTAAGCCTCTTTGCCCCTACGCCCATGCCGTTCAAGACGCGGGATCGGCTTCAGACCTGCGAATATCCGCCGTGATCAGGGTTTAGGGTTACGGGTTTAGGGTTTAGGGATTTAGGGTTTAGGGGTTTAGGGTTTGGTTTAGGGTGAATCCCGGCTCCACTCGTGAAGTTCACTCCAACCAAACGAGTCACTCGACCATGCGACCTCGCAAAGCACAGGCCACCAAGGCCACCAAAGACATTGACCCATACTCCCATCCCCCCCCATTATTAAACCCCCCCCCCTTACCCCCCTAATATTAAATTCCCCCTCCCCCCCCTCCCCTATACTGGAATATCACAAAATGCGGATATTTAATATTAGGGGGCTAGGGGCGGGGGGGGGCTTAATATTAGGGGGAGGGGAGTACTCCGACTTGAACCAAGTCCGGCCGCTCGCCTCGGGGCGGCGCCCCATGGGATGGGCGGATGGGTGTCCTTGTGGCGGATTTAGGGTTTAGGGTTCAGGATTGCGTCGGGTTCTACATGCGTTCCTTCTTTGCAGCTCTTAGTTGCGGGTTCGCCAGTAGACCTCGAGACGCTTGTGTTGGTACCCTGACGCCCTACACCGCCAAAACTTCGACCCTGCTGAGGTCCGTAGAGCCCCACCCCGTGCCTCCAAACCAAACGCTTGTGGGCACAAACTCTAGCATGAAGCCCATGAGCATAGAAACGACGTGGTGGCATTGTCACATGCAAGGCTGCCTTGCTAACACCTCGCCTCACCACAAGCGCAGCAAGCTCGGCAAACCTTACATCAATGAGGGTGTCGGAGCCTACAGATTGGGATGTTCCCCTAACAGTCCTTCATAGGGGGATACTATAATCCCCATTAAGGACTGTTAGTATAAGGGGAAACATCCCAACCTATTGAGTTGAAAAGCACTCAGAACCACCACCAGCTGAGATCATGGAAGCAGGGCTACCGTTAACTCGCCAGCAGGCAAAGCAGTTGAGCTAGCGCTACCACAGCAGGACGTGTACAATGACAATAACAGTGTGGCAATGATATTCACAACAGCATTGTCTCAAACCTTTGGCGTCAGTGTTCTTCTCCTTTCAGGGCAACACAGAGCGACTCTACCTGAACCAACAAAAAGGAAGGACAGCAAAACACGTCCGTCCTCGTCCATGCAGAAATTCTTTTGCGCCTGCATTGCATGGTGGCCCCCCGGGAGTTTTAAGGGTGCGAATCTTGAGCGAGTGAAGTAAAGGATAGTTGTTGGAATCATACGCCACATCTAGATTTCAGAGTCTTGGGGCTAAGTCAAGGTGTTTCCCAACTCAAGCCCTCCCACCCGCCCCTCCAGGTGGCCAAGCTATGGCAGCCGCAACTCTCTGACATGTCTGGCCCCCAGCAGCCTATGTGAAGCTGCGGACTTCGGCATCCACTTGGGACAGCTCACGAGAAGCATCTATAGGGCTAACTTGGGAACATCGGCACGAACCCACAACCCAACCTAAACTCACTCTACAAACAGGACTCCAAAACCCTCACAAGCCCTCGACCCCCGAGAACTCCGCCGCGAGGACATGCCTTCCGCCGCCACCACAGGCACACGAGGCAGGGCGCACAGAGGATGAGGAACCTGTCGAGTTGTTTAGGGTTTAGGGGTTTTGGGTTTAGTATTTAGGGTTTAGGGGTTTTGGGTTTAGTATTTAGGGTTTTGGGGTTTTGGGTTTAGTATTTAGGGCTTGGGGGAACTCCCTTGAGGAGCCCTGCTTACTAGGGTGCACTGTGAGGTTGAGCTGCAGTCATACTTAGTTTCGCCAAAATAACCAGGGAACGGCAAGGTTACATCTCAAGAGTCCGAGAAAATCAGGGAACCCCACTTACAAGCCCCTTAAGTGCCTCACATGGTTATAATTGGGTTTAAAAAGTGCCATGAACCTCCAAGTGTGAGGGATCTGTGGCTGCGATTTTGGAGCCAGGGACCAGGCGGGAGTGGACGTATTCTAGCTATTAGTTGCTTAATACAAACCCAAAAAAACAAAAAAGCTCTTCCCCATAAGGGCAAGAAAGGGATGATTATTGTCCATTCTTTTGGGGTTCTTAAGCAAATAGAAGTATAAGAGATTCAACCCATTGTTCCACCCCGAACCCCGCATTACAAACACCCTGACACAAGTCCCACTCCGAATCTCTGGCTGAAGGACGAGGCACCCCTGCACCCAAAAGCCCAGAACACAAAAAGCGCATAATAAATCTCGAAGCCCTAAACCCTACAGGCTTCGGGAGGCCGCCCAAGGCTGGCTTCAGAGTTGTGGGGGGATGGTAGGGTTGTGGTCTTCGGGTTCAGGGTGTTTGAAGCGACTCCTCAAGATGCAGGACCCTTCGGAAAGGCGTGCATGGGAGGTTCAAGTGCTGTTCTGAGTCATGAAAACATTGCAAGGTACTCAGAACCCTGTGCTTATGACGACCCATGAAGCTTCCAGTGCTGATATTACGACAAGGGATTCACCAGCCAAGAGGCGGCAGTGCCAACACTGCGGCAACCAACACACACGGTGCCAGGAGAAATAGTCGCGCCATCTTCGGCCACGCAGACTTCTGCTGGAACAGCTCTGCAGCCCCAATCTGCACATGGGGTTTAGGGTTTAGGGTTTAGGGTTTAGGGCTTAGGGCTTAGGGTTAGGAATCTCGGATATAGAGCTGATGAAGAACTCTGTTCAGGGATCCTCCTGGTGTTCTTTTTTCTGCTTCCCTTGCAGTCTCCCAGCGACATAAATAAGCAGAGGGGGTTTCCAGGCATGATTTCTTCAACGCACCTGCTCGTGCCGAGACCCGCGCCTGCACCCGATCGCGTTCCTCTAGAAGCCCTTCAGAACCTCGCCGTCGCCGGGTCGGGAACCCCGAAAAACACTCATTCCCAGCTTAGGGTTAGGGTTTAGGGTTTAGTGCTTGGGGTTTAGGGTTTAGGGCTTACGGGCTTATTGATCATTGTATGGCTCCTCCGCAGGGTTACACGATTTCTTTGGGGAGTATGCGCTTGCTTGCTAGTTCAGAGGCTCCGGTGGCTTGCTATGCTTGGTTGTAAGGTACTAGCCGTCTGTGGACAAGCTCTCTACTTCATCGTTATCTTTGAAGGTGAAATGAATAAACAAATTTATGTATATATATATATATATATATTATACATATATATATATATACATGTAACATATACATATACACACACACCTTCACATGAGAAATGTAACATAAACCGAACATCTCAACTGAATGAAGAAGAAAAACATACATAGTTTGCAAGATAAGGTTGTTTGTATTACAGGTAACATATTTGAACACAAGTCTCCTCATGTCGGAGCATATCCTAGTTGCAAGCCCTCCTCAGGGCCCAAATCCCCACGCCGCCCAAACGCAATACTGAGCTGAGAACCTCACGGGGGATTCGACTGGTGCCCTTCTTGCCCAGCCCGGCCCAGAATGCAGCACGCTTGACTGCAAGGCGTGATTCGAAGCTTCGCAGCCGCAAGCTTCGGGCACAACTTCTTGAACAAGATCGAAAGCAGATTTTGTGAACAGACTTTTGGAAGGACAGCCATTTGCCCACATATCGCAATCCTGACAGCCTTCGTGGCTGAGTTTCTGGAGAGTTTCCTACGCCAAAACCTTTAAATGTTGCCACTAAACCCTATACAAACCCTGAACCCTAAAAACCCTAAAACCTGAAACCTAAAACCTAAACCACGCACCTAAGACGACTCTTGTTCCCTACGGCTCCTGCCATGTTCGGCCGCCCTCAAGGGCTGCTGCGGGCGGTTTAGGGTTTAGGGCTTGTGCTGCATGATCTGAGGGCCGCGTGCAGGGTTGCGGGTTGAGGGTATTGAGTATTTAAGCCCTAAACCCTAAACCCTAAACCTTTAAGCTTCAAAGTGACATCGTCCCCATTTCGCGACTGGGCTTAGGGCCACCCAGTGAGCTTTGCGTCACCATCGCAGCCATCTGCCGGAAGCGGTCGATCTCTCGGAGAAGCTCGTCCTTCAGTACAGAAGTTCATACGGATCGGGCAAAACATGCCATGGAACAGCCATTACAGCAACCTCAAGAGATTCTTGTCGACTCCCAAACGATGTTGAAATGTTTTAATGAAAACAAATAAGGGTTACTGAGAACTGCAAACCGCACAGCTCGCGCACAAGATGCACTCACACGTGTATACGTTCATGTTCAGTACGGTTTAAGGTTTAGGAAGGTCTTGGGTATTGGGTTTCGCTTCTTGAGCGTTCATGTATACCCCTCCCGGCCCCCTCCGGCCCCCCTCCCGCCCCGCGTGATGCTGAGAGACCCCTGTGCTCAAGCTCAAGACATTGCAGCGGAGACTCTCGAACTGATTCCCGCAGCTCGGCCATCATCCTTAGGTGATGTCAGGCCATTTCTACCACAAGCAAGAAGCCTACCCGCGTTCACAACTTAACCCTCCGAACAGAACTGTCGCCACTCTAGTCCAAAGCGGTAACCCTGACCCCTAAACCCTAACCCCCATACCCGGAAACCCCTAAACCCCTAAACCCTTACACCCCTACACCCCTAAACCCCTAAAACCCCTAAACCCCAGGCTCTCTGCGGCGATCAAGGCCACCTTCAAGGACTCCACTTCGGGCGTAAACAAGACTTCAACCGTGGCACGGAAGCCCCACCTTCGCTACCAATTCCTTAACAAAAAACAAAAGCAAAATAAAATAGTAATGATAATAATAATCATAAAACTTCCTCATAAGGGTAAGATAGGATTATTGTTTTTTTTCTTGTTTTGGGGTTCTTATGCAAATAGTAGTTCGGCGTATGGGTAGAGTTCTCTAAATTAGGGTCCCTTTTTGGGTCCCTGTCTACTACTACTTGCTTAAGAATCCACCGAAAAAAGACTCTTCCTTTTACGGATTATCATATTTTTGGGGCGTGGTTCTCAAGAAAAAAGCAGCATATAACAAAGACCCCTGATTTAGAGAATGATAACAATATTGTTACCAGCAGACAGCCCCAATATTTAGGGAAACGTGCACACGCCTTTTTCTTGAGCCGTGAGCGAACAACGGTAAGTAATGAAATGTCTTTCTGTAACAACACCCCCCGCGCAACTTAGTGCAACGTAAGAGGCGTCAAAAGTTGAGGAAAGACAAACGATGTTCGCTACAGTCGTACCTAGTACGCAAAACGACTGCATCTTGAGGAAATTTCACCTCACATAACCAGCTGAAAATAAATCCAGCCCGTCAGGGAGGTGCTCTTCACCTGTTACCCTGAGGATAGAAACTGACTACAACTGCTACTGTGTAGCCAGCTCGTCAGAGCGGCGAAGGAGATGCAGTGCGGCGCACGGGCACACACACGTAGGCTGATGGAATCAGAAATGCAAAGAACGAAAACAATTTGCTCAAAAGTGCTGGGTCGGCGAATCCGACCCGTCAGGGTGGAGTGTGCAACCCTGACCATGCCTCCTTTTAGGCCTTAGTACCGCCTCTCTTGCACACCAGTGTGTGGATTCGTGACGTGGTGTTTCCATCCTCTGAGATACCACAACACGTGGTCGTAATCGTAGACGACGATCCCCCCTGGGTTTCCCCAAGCAGGAAGGGCGTTCACCACCTCTTCTTCCGACACCCAGTGCGCATCCCGGGCCTTGAGCATGGCCCAGTAGTACCCGTCAAGAAGGGTCCAGGTGCTCGAGCGCGTCCGCGTCGGGTCGATGAGATCACCATCATGGTCGAAAGGGTAGTGCTCTGGAAGGTCAGCAAAGAGTTCCTGAAGAATGCTGAGCCTTTTCCCAATCTCGACATCGACTCGGCTGCGCCTCTCGGCCAACCATTCTCCTTCCGTCATGCTTGGTCCAGTGGGATCCACGCGTCTGCGGGATGTGCGCACCTCTCCAGGGGAACCCGGGCGTCGCACTGGCGGAGGCCGCGGGGTCGAAGCCCTGCGCTGTGGCGGTGGCCTCGCAGGCATTGCTGAGCTGAGACCTGGAGATCTGCCCCTCGATGTAGCCCTTGACGGCGTGCGCTCCCTCGCTCCCATAGAAGGCCCGTACTTTGCTGTCGGTGGGCGGTAGCCTTCAGCTTCCGCTGGGCGACGGGCCGGCGCTGAGCTTCTGCGATCAGCTGTGGGAGGAGGAGGAGGTCGCATCATTCCGAGTGAGGACGCTCTCGTGGGACGAATCCACTCCGGCTCGACACGGTTGGAGTGCAGATGCCGCTGGTAAAACCTGGTATCGCGGAGCAGCTCATTCAATTGGGTCTGACCGAGGCAAGCAAACCCGTCAGGGATGCGGAGAGATCGAGCCAAGTCCACGTGGCGTGGTGCAGGATCCTGACGGCTTCCGCTCAGGGGAAGTTGATCCTGGAAGAAACGACTGACCTCCGCCATCACTTCTGAGACGGTGCCTACCCTTGGTGTGAACAAGTCACCATCGTAAGAGAGAATCGTGAAGGGTCTCTGTCGCCCTTCCGGGGACTGCTGGGTGGCATAGATGATCATGGATATCTCATCAATGAGATAGAGCCTTGACTGAAAGGCCACAAAGAAAGCTTCATCCAATGAGACTCGGTCGTCTCCCGGACGATAGGCGATTGAGACTCTGGCGTCAGCCCGGTGAGTGCCAGCGAATGCTCTCCTCTCGTTGGCATCAGCCCCGGGTGCTGGATTGTGCAAATGGGCGAACATGTCCAGCTGGGCCAATGAAGTGATACCCATACCACGGGACGCAAAATTGTAGGCGTCGAGGGGATTGGTGAGAGCGTCAGCGATCGACTGGCCTCCCCTCTTCATTGCCGATTTTCTCATGCTCACGCATTTGCTGCGTACTGCTGCAGGGAGACTTTGATCTTGTGCTTCGCGCGTTCCTCGCTCTGCACGGTGCCGGTTCATTGCCAACCCCGGCCGGGGGGCGATCGACATGATGTCGATGTTCCGTCCCTTCCGGGAGGACTCCAGGCGTCGTTTGCTGGGTTCGGCAACATGTGCCATGTCACTCTCAGCTGCGATTCTGGAGCCGCAGAACTGGCACTCAATCATTCCATCGATGTAATGTTTACGGCAACTGGTGCAGTAAAACCAGGGAAAGGAAACAAGCTCCTGGACGATGAAATGGTCGAGCTCGGAGCGGTGCTTTCGATCCACTCGGATGCCCTTTGCGGAGAACCACACCTTGAGCGTGGAACCCCACTTGGCTTCCGCCAGTGGCTCGGGCCGCGGTGCGTTGTCGGCGAACTTGAGGTCCTCGAGCCTGATGATCTCATCTTCAACCGTGAGGTTCTCTTCATGGGCGATTTGGTACGGCCTTGTCATGTCAGTGATGTAGTGCCGGTACTCATGGAAGTTGAGCCTGGTCTGGAGGCTTTCGAGGTAGTCAAGGTAGCAACCCTCCTCCGACCAATCGTCCAAATGGCCCTGCTCGAAGATTGGACGCGGCTCCCGCCCGTCGTGAACATCCTTGCACGCCTTGTGCAGTCGGACGCGGAGCAGCTCGTACACACGGTTGTGCCAGATGGGAACCTGGGAGTGGCGATCATAGCAGTAAACAATGTACCTGTTGGAAATCCAGTCAGGTGTCTGAATTGCATCTGCCTTGGATCTAAAGATCCGCACGCCCTCCAGGGCTGCGAGTTGCAGGTCGATGACAAATTCAATGTCAGCATCTTCACGAACGCCTGCATGACTCTCCCTCTGCCACGCCGGTACGGGAGACATCATCACGAAGTAACGGCTGGCACTTCCATCTGCAGCAACCCCTCCCGGGATGAGACCATCTCGAACGATGGAGTGCAGATAGCAACGATACGTGCCGTGGTAAGCCAACTTTGGCATGCTTTCGAAGGCCTCGCTGGTGTAACCAGTGGTTCCCACCCTGGGCCTGTTTGCCAAATTGGGTTGCCAAAGAGAGGACAGATGGTACGAGTGGGTGTTCAGTGCCATCACGTCCGTCTCTTCCGAGAGGAGTATGCCGTCGTGCCCCTGAATCGCTCTAAAGGCACGCAGCTGGACCTCCCTGTCGGGTTTAATGACAACCTTGACTTCGAACCGCACTTTGTCGTGAGTGGATTTGAGGACGTCCACCACGTGCTCCACACGGAGGCCTCTCCACATCATTCCCAACTTCTCGAAAAATTCGGACCATTCAATAGAATTGTCCCTGGCTGAGATGTGGACCGCCATTTCTGGCGCTCGCCGATTGGCGAATCCCCGGGCAAGGAAGGACATCTTCTTCGACAAGCAGACCCGGGCGTTCTCCGTGAGGAAACGGTAATCATCCGGCAGATCGGGGAGCTGATCGGCAGTAACCCAACGCGGCAGCGTGGGAGGCCTCGGCTTTGCCTTGGGGACAAGGGGTGCCTGAGAAACGGCCTCGCTCGGCTGAGGGGCGTCGGGGTCACTGATGACGACCACGGGAGAAGGAGGCGCGACCACTTCAGCTCTCTTCAAGGAGTAGGTGTCGGCATTCTCATATGGATCATCATCCTGCTCCACGAATTGACTGAGGAGGGTAATTTCCTCTTCAGCCGCGACCGCGGTGAGTTCTTCCTGCGTGATGCCCTCTGCCGCTTGGTTGGCCATGACGAGGTGTTCCTCAGCAACCACGTTGATCGGGTCGCTGTCTTCAATCGCGAGGACGCAACCTGCGCCAGGCCTGGTGTCATTCCTGGCAAAGTCTAACTCAGTGATGGGCTGCGGATTGCAGCTCTGAGCCGAGTCGTCGTCGACAACTTCGTACTCCGCCTCCGCCAGGAGTGGACCGGCCAACACAATCTCCTCTTCTGCCTCCCTCGCCAGAGGTGGGTCCGGTGAATCGACAATCTTGGAAAGGATTCTACCGGACGCAGGGGGCACGGTGAGGAACGGTTCGGGCTTGTTCAACACAAAGTGTGCATGAAAAACGGCTTCTCTTTGATTTGCGATGAGTTGCTGCTCAACAGCGAGAAGGCGGTAATCTGTGAGTATGCCGCGGAGCATCGCCGCGTGCCACCTAAGGGTGCTCTGCAGATTTTGATCCGACGCGTCAGCGTGGAAGCCATCAGGCCTGCTGGTCTGCTCATAGAGCTCCACAGGGTCAATGATGGTGCATCCTCCGCTCATCAGATCTCGGGCGTGATTCTTCATGCACCTGTCATAGAGCTCCCCGACCGGGAAGAAACAGGAGTGATGGCTGCCCATCAAGAAAGACACACCCGAGACGTCAGTCCGGTGGAGGAGCTTGCACGCTCTCTCACACGCCCGATCAACACGAAGCTTCTGCTTTGCAGGCCAAGTGTCAATCTGCTCGAGCTCCTCGGCTGTTCGCTTTGTGAACTTGCTCTGAAGATGCCAAGTGTAGCCATGATAGCCGTGTTGGCCCCATACATCGTTTCCTGACCATCCAAAAATGATGTGGGTAGCCGCCCCTTCCGGGTGGTGATCCCTCGCCTCGTTAAGGTGCTTGAGCGCCTCATCGATGAGCTGGTCGAGGTGATACCCCCACTTCATTGAGTAGATTAGGCTCTCCACTTCTGGATTGTTCCTGAAAACGTCTTGCATGAGCGGCTCAATGGTCATGCGGTGCGTAGGCTTCCGCCCCGTGTAATGGCACAACGCAAGGGAAGAGTCTCCGACGATCAAGAACCGTCGCCTCTCTTCCGGAGGGAGTGAAATGCGCTGAAGGGCAGGAGTAAAGAGCTTCTCGACAAGACTCGAAGTCTTCGCAAAATACTGGAAGTCGGAAGCGCCTACGCTAAGATTGGCAATTCTGCGGCAAATGTCATAGTGCTTAGTGGAATCGATTGCACCGCCCGCCTTCGGTCCAAACGCCAGGGTGGCCAGATCCTGAGCATGTCGGTAAAGGATCTGTATCCAACCCCCCAGGGTGGAGTCACGAAGCACGGAGGCATCAATCTCGGTCTCCGAAAACACACGGACTCCGTGCTTGCGATAGAATCGCTCGTAAAGCACCGTCCAATGGGACGAAGGGTCCTCTTCACGCAGCTCCCGCCAGCGGTAGATGGGAATTGTGCCGAGAAATAAGTCGTCGTCGGCATCGTCATCCTGTGGCTCAACCACAGCTTCCGCCAGGTCACTGAAACTCGGTGGAAGAAGGATGCCAGCCATGGCGTCAGCCAGGCGGTCGGGGTCCACTAGCGCTTGCTTGAACTCCGCGACACGCTGCTGGCGTTCCTCGTCAGTCAGAAACTCGGTCATGGTCGGCGAGGTGATGATGGCTGGGCACGCTGGGACTACAGGGGAGCTTGATCTAGCCGCTGCAGAGGAGTTCACTTCCTTAAAGGCTTTGTGAATAGCCCGTGCAAGAGGTTTACTGTAATTTTCTGATTCCTTCAGGCATTTAGCATGCTCGTGGCTACGAGTACACTTTTTGTCATTGAGACGATTGTACACTGTTTGAAGGGTAGTGGCAACACACCACGGCTTTTTCACAGGAACACCCTTCTTGTTATGCAATCCGAACCTGCATCCATCAAATTTGGCATAAACAAACGGATGCCTATCAAGCCACTTCCTCACTTTGTCCCATCCCCAATACTCACAGTCCCTTGGCCATTCAACACAGTAGTCGACGGACGCCTTATCAAGGCCCTGAGAAAGATCAACGAATGATGCCCACAACTTCTTGAACTTTCTTCTGGCATCAAGCACAGCATCTCTATTTTTGGGAACCTTAAGGTTGATTCTAGTCCATTGACTGCCACCAGTGCAAGGCAAGCTAACCCATGTTAGAACACGAGCGCCAGCTCGGTGGTGTTCTTTAGCAATGTCGATGATGGCTCTACGGGTATCTGGTGAGTTAAGGTCCATGCTTTCGGTGACTCTAACTACCTTACACTCGGGAAACTCATGATGAGCTATTTCCCCAATGATGGAGTCATCACTACAGCAAACCTCTATAATGACCCGCTTCGTTTTGCTGTCGGGCCTCGAGTCGCTCGCAACGGCGGGTGGCGGAACGCTGGCCGGTGTAGCCTTACGGCTCTCGAGCTTCCGCTGAGTGATTCCCATCAATAGCAAGGCATTTCGCCACTTTTCAGCATTGGTAAAGGGTTTTGTAAGGATGTCAGCAGCTTGAAGATTGGTGTTGATGTAAGCAAGGTCATAGTGCTTCCTACGAAACTGCTCTGCGATCCATCCTAAATTGATTCTTTGAGTCTTGTCAGAATGACGGAAGGCTGGGGATTTTCCAGACTCTAGGATGCGGATGGTGGCCTGATTATCCTCTAAGACAACTGGCTGAATCGAATGAGGCACAGACATTATTAGTCCGAAGTCGCAAGGTTTCCTAGTGACTCCAACCTCAGTATCGACACCACCCCCCGAACCCCTTATGCCCTCGGCTTCCCTCTGAAGGATGGCCTCCGCTTCCGCGTGGCGGCGGTATTCTGCGGTGGACCTTCTATACACGAGGATGCCATACTCGAAATCATCTGGAGGCAGAGTGCGTTCGTCTTCATCCAATTCTTCCCAAGCAACCGCCCTTTGATGCAAAGTCCACTTCCCCTTTTGGAGTAACCAAAGATCCCTAATAGGGTGACTAGTCAGCTCAACGGGAAAGGGTAAAGAGCTACTTTTGCTAAAAAACTCCACAATCCTTCCGTCTGCAAGGAGATGACGTCCTGTCTTGTTGATGGTCGAGATTCCCTGGAAAGGATAAGATTTGGGTTTGAAATCGTGCTTAGCAATGTCACTACGAAGAGGCTTGGGAGCTGTATCCCCCCCCGCGTTCAGGAGCACGCTCCATAGTGCAGATGAAGGAAGACCCAAGGCTCGCAGAGTAACGTTCGCACATACGACTTCTGCTTCAGTGGAACTAAGCGCGGTGCTCGTTTGCTTTTTGCTAAAAGCGGACAAGGGAAAGTAGGTGTTGGGTCCTACCAACGCGAGGAAACCTCCTGAAGTGCTTTTGTTGTCATGTTCGCCTGCGTGATCAGAATCAGCGAACAGCCAGAGCTTACACTTATCAAGGGAGTCTCCTATAAAGCAGGTCATTCGATGGTCAAGAGTGGACGCCACATAACACATGAGTCTGTGCAGTGCCTTGTCACAGTCGGCAGACCACTTAGTGACCCGGCTAGCTAAACCCTGGACAGCACGTAATAAGTCATAACGAGCCATCCTTGCTGCGAACAGCAACTTCATGAGCACACGACTCGCAATAGGAGCAAGCTTGCCTTTGGGTTCAGCCTCCGCGTCAGTGGGGCGAGCGATTTTGTCATCATAGAAGGGCGTTGATACCTTTTTAAGGTTATGCCACTCGGGACCAGTGAGTTCTTTGTAGCGGTCGATGGCCTGCTGCAAGAAGGAACTCATGTCATAGACGACTTGTCTGGTCTTAGCATACATACAACCCTGATGATCACTCAACTGATTGACATCATAGAAAGCGTGTTTGCGGGCTGCTTTCTTGGCATTAAGTTTGTCTCTAATCTTTTTCACGGCTGCCATTGCGGAACGCTCGGTGTGACCGTTGGCGGCAAGATAAGTAGCACCTGTCCATAAGTGATCACGTTTGTGCTTAGCACCCCCCGTGTCCCAGAGCTCGTCTGGCGCGGCCTCAGAACCTAGAGGGCGCATCAATGTGAGTCTGTGCGGACTAAGGTCAAGTGCGACGGCTTCCGCCGCGCGAGGCTTGAACAACGCCTTGCGGGGCTGAACGTGATGTCGGACAACCATCCCTTCTTCAGGGTAGTATTCGGTGAAATCTTCTTTGGCTGCGGCAGTGGCAGGTTTGGCAGCGGGATCAGGAAGGGATTTGTCGAAGACATGCGCAAAAGGATGATCGGCTTTTCCAAGCGATGAAGACTGAGATAAGTGTTCACATCCCAGATATCTTCCGATGGGAGTAGGTGTATCCATATCGATGCGAGAGCCGATGAGTTCCCAACCCTTGGCTAGGTTCTCTTTTGGCCCGGCCATCTTGAAATCATCTACATACACGGCTAATAAAAGCTTCAATGTGGGATGATAAAAGACAGATGGCCATGCAGCGGGAAACACGAGCTCAAAACCAACCTCCCGCAAGCGCTTTTCGCAATGTTGCTCCCAGAAGCCCCCGCTGTCTGGGTGCCCGTAAAGAGCCAATCTGAGGCGGACGACGGGGTCCCTAAACTTGCCGACCCACTCCTTAGGCCAACGCTCACGTGGGAGCCTGACCCAAGTGTCAGCGCCTTTCAGAGTCGTTTGCGTGTACGCCTGTTTACCATCCCCCTGTTCCACATCGTGGCCGGGGGCATGGCCATAGGCGTCGAGAACCTTACCCGCTTCCATGGTGGCGGGACTAGAGCCCAGCTCACTAAAGAGAGCGGTGTCATTGTTCTCGTCCTTCACATTGTTGCCCTGAAAGACGGTCCTACCCTTGAACTTCCGTAAGGGATTCCCTTTAGGAAGCTCACTGCCCTTTTCCACGCAGATTTCAAAGATTTTGCCAACGTGGGCCTTCTTTCCTCTTTTGGCTGCCTCTTTAGAGACTTCTTCCCATTCACGAACAGATGACATGTCCCAGGCTTTCTTCTTCATCAACTTTTCCCATTCAACGTCAAGAGAAGCTTGGGCCTGAGGATCAGCTAACAGCTCTTTTCTTCCTACTGGCCTGGCGAACATAGCCATAGCTTCCTGAACTTGCTCGGCAGTAAGAGCGCGGGAAGCAGGGATCTTGTCCCTATGTTGATGACTAGACATGGGAACTGTAGGCATACATGGGAAATCTTTGACAGCTTCTTCCGAAGTGTGGGGTTTGGTAAGGATGTCGAACTCAGTACGACCAACCCATTTGAAGCTGAGCTTCTTGTTGCGCTTGCGTACATGACGCCATTCATCACAATCGGCTATGATGTCCGTACCTCCAATTGGCATGATTTTGGTCAATCTCTCTTTACCAAGAGCGGAGATAGGAACAGGACAATCAGTGAGATCAGGGGAGAACAGTTCACGTCTCGGAGAGTAGTGAAAGCGGATGAGCTTATCCCCCCGAATTGTCCATTCATCTTTAACCGGATTAGCTACTGCAGAGGGCCTGGCGCTGCTACTTGACGAGGGAGTTTCTCGGGCCTCGAGATCTCTCAAAGCTTGCTCTCGAGCCTCATCATCAATGGCCTTCTCCTTTTGTGCTTTGGAGAGACGGACCCATAGATCGCTCGGGATGCTGTCCGGCTTTCTAGAACCTCTAGTCCCCCCGTAGCGACGACCTAGTGTACCCCCCGAATCATAGTACTTCCCACCTTCCGGCAGAGGAATCTCCTTGCCGGTTTTGGGGTGAAGAACTTTAGGGGGCTCAACCTTCCGGTCGGCGTCAGAAGCTTCAGCGGCCTGTTCAGCTGAGGGCTCAGCGTCCTGATTGTGGAGTGACTCCGTCGCTGGTCGCTCGAGGGCATCGGCAGCGAGACCTTGTTGCACACGTTCGTACCTCTGTTTCATGGGAAAAGTGAAATCACCTTCAGGCACCTTGAACTGGTATGCTCTTATGGGCTTGATGCATTCATGGAAGTCCTGTCGATTTAACTCTTTCAGTGAAAGAACCAATACCTCGTGCTTCCATTTCATGCCCGGCTGAAAATGATATCCCACGAAAACACCTGGTTCAGCAGTTGGCTCGAACCTTTCACGATTCTTGCGCTTTTTCTTGGGTCCAACCCAATAGTCGATTCTGCAACCAAAGGGAATGACCTTTCCCGGGAACTGGCTCCCGAAACGCTTGAACCACGGTGTAAACTTCGCCCCATGGGGGTTACTTATATTCACAGCGGTACACGCATGCTCGAGAGCCTGTGGCCAGTACACATGCGAGAGCCCGGCCTGAAGCAAATTGCTTCTAGTACCCTCGGTGGTGGCGCGCACTGCGCGTTCTGCGATCGCGTTGGATTGATGAATATACGCTTTGGATTGTTCATGTCTCCAACCTAAGAACTTGGCGGCAGAGATGAGTTCTTTAGCTTGATCGCTGTAGAATACCCCTACCTCGTCAGAGGAGGAAACGAAATGTTGCAATGCTGCAATGCACTCATCCTCTGACCTCAGTGCTGAAGGGTAGGCATACGTAAAAGAAGTCGCAACATCCTTCAGTACGAGGGCCAATCTGGATTCTTCTATAACCGTATCCCTATCACGGTACACAATGATGTGATCCGCAGTGATATGGTCTCCAAACGCCTTAGCTTCGACGCTGTGCCAGCCATCCGTTTGGTACGAAGGCGGCTTGTACATCTTAGCTCTTTGGCAAACATCACAGAATGGATTTTTGGGAAGGTGCGTCATGAGATGCGCCGCTGACTTGGCTTCTTTCTTCAAATTCTCAATGCGCCTCGACCTCTTGCCTTCCCCACCACTACCCTCACCAGGATCCCCATCTGGAGCATGCCTCTCTCCTTCCGGAGGAGGAGGGAGGACGCTCGGCTCACCTGAATCGGGTTTCGGCGACCTGATCAGTTCCGTTTCATCAAGGAACTCTTCATCCGGAGATGAAGGGATGGGGGCAACAGCTTCTTTCAATAACCCCTCGACTGTTGACCAATCTGGTTCATCCGAAGGTGGTTCGGCTTTGGAGGCTTCTTTGGCAATCTTCTTCTTGTCTGAGGGTTCCTCAGGCTTCTTTTTCAACTTCACTTTAGGCTTGCTTTTCGGTTCTGGGGCCGGAGCTGGAGGATCCATAGTCGCTAACTCGTAAAGAGCCATCTCCTCATCGATTTCCGCAGGCACTGCTGGAGGGAAGTTCTTCTGTTTCGGCAGCAAGAACCCCAGTGATTTAAGCTTCTCTAGCTGATACGAATCCAGCCTGTGCACAGCGCGATTGACGTATCCCGTGATGCTCCAACGCTCGCCCTTCCAGGGAGTGACGCAATGGAAAGTCTTTGGATCGAAGGAAATGATCTTCGACTTCGACCTGTGCAAACGACCTCCCAGTTTGGCACCAGTGGGGGCGATCTTGTTGATGCAACCTGGCTCATCCTTCCGGATGGTGTCATCGTGAATCCACAATTCGCCTCCGGTGAAATCGCCGACTGCAATGGTGTAGTTGAGGTGTTCACGGTGATTGTTGACATCCTTGTGCATTTTAACGCCTGAGTTCTGATTGACAGCAATCGATGTTATTGGGCCATCCGCTCCATGATGTTTAAGATAGGACAGAAGGTACTTAATCACCTTGGGGTAGGAATGAGTGCGATTGGTTATCCCTTGCATCCCCCCATGTGAAAAAGCCCCGAAAATCATGTACTTCGAGTCCTTACTGTCCTTCGGTTTGATGGCTTTCCTGTTGAACCTAGATTGCTTAAAGTTTGAGTCCTTCAGCAATCGCAAGCATGCCTGATGGGAGAAATCCTGCTCCTGGATAAGTTGCGCGGCAATCTGTTCAGGGTTGGTGATGGTCTCAACAGCATCATCCGTATCGATCCGAGTGGACTCGTGTCTTGAATGGGCAGGACAAGCGATACCCTCCTTCCAAGACTTCAAGTACGGAACGTTATCCTTCACATCAAGGAAAACCTTGTCACCTCCCGGACTCCTGAAATAGGGTCTCTGAAATCCTTTCCAAATGAAGTCGTAACCCAGATCCATGCATCTCTGTCCTACTGAAAGAACATTGGGAGTGTCGGGGAGAACATAAGGCTTGGCTATGCTGTTGAGGGATGGTATCCCTACATCACATTGCGTGCCTGCGTAACTCGGTCCATTCGCAGTGCAAATGTTGATTGGGCAGTCCGATTCGTACGGATGCAGATTCACAAGCTCCCGCTCTGAGATGAGATCCTGAGCACTCCCTGTGTCACCAATCCATTCGATGGGTGGCGATTCTGATGATAGTTGAACCTTAGCGGGACAAGACACTCTCAACCCTTTTGGAATGCAATAGTTGCAACCAAACTCCGTATCGCAACAGTAATTGCAACGGCTTGGTTTGTCCTCCAGACTGTCTTTGACCGTAGCTCTCAACATGCGAGCGGCCATAAGTGCATCTCTGGTGGATTGATTGTCTGGCTTGGGAATGTAGTCAACAGACCACTTCTTGTCATACCTGCGCTGAGGATTCTCAACAGGGAACTTAAGCTCTCCATCTCTGAGTGGGAAGTTGATGTACATTGGGCTGTTGTCAAAAGACACTGCTGGTAGCGCCAAACGCATGTCAGTGGAACACTGAGGGGGCCAGTACGACTCATCCTTCCGGAGAGTAAAAGCGTCGGCTTGGGAAGCCGTGCCGGCCATCATTGCTCCTAGAAGGCAAACTGCTGCAGGGAGAGAAGGTCCGCCACTCCTCCTTCGAGCTGAGCCCTTCGAGTTCCCGGAGCCATGTGATCCTTTCGAACCCTTGCTTCCCTTAGAACCCTTGGAGCTAGCCCTGGAGCCCTTGCGTTCCTTCTTCTTCTTCTTGTCCTTGCCCTTGTCAGGGCGCGCAGATCCCTTCTGACTTCCGTCGGGTGTAGCAGCGGCACCTGGCTTTCCGGTGTGCATGAATTTGCAATTCTCTCCACGGTCGCAACGACCTTGTTTGTAGAACTTGCACACTCGAGGCTTTCCTGACGGGGAGTTGGGTCTTGAAGGACTTCTCCCTCGGCCTCCGCCGGGTGACTGCGATCTGCCACGTCCGCTGGGCGTCTGGTGCTTGTATTTACAACTGCCACCATTCTTGCAACTGCCGTTCTTGACAAAAGAGATGCAAAACCCTTTGGGTACTTTCTTGGGTGCAGGCGCAGTAGGAACAGCAGGAGCTCCAGTTTGCTTGGCAATCCGCTCCCGGTTCCTCTCGAGCCTTTTTCGATTCAAGTGGCTATTGGCGGCGTCGTAGAGAAATTTAAACGATCTTTCACTGGAGCCTTCGGCAGCCCTTTCATAGATGGCAATATCGTGCTGAAGTGCTTTGCATTTCTTTACCTGCCTATGAAAGAGCGGTTCGAGAACCTTGTCTTCAGGGGTGGTCTGAATGCCTGAAAGCACCGTATCCCAGTTCCTAACGAACATCACAAGGTTTTCGTTTACCAATGTCACTGAAAGGAGGTCTTCCATGTCATACACGGAATTGTGTAGGATGTTTGTAGCAAAGTGCTGATGAAGGAGAAACAGGATTTGTCTACCCCTCACTAGCCTCCCGGCGTGAGCCTCCCTCTCCTTGAGGGTGTCCATTTGGCGCGCGAAGTCACCTTCAAGGACATTTGTCACTGCCGACAAGACCTTGGCATCGAGAGTAGAGAAGCCACCTGTGTCCCTTAACTCTTCTTCCTTAGAGTCCTTGTCCCATACCTTCGAAAGCCATTCAAAAGCTTCATCCGGCTTATTGGACGCTGCAACTACAGCTTCACGAACCCTAATTCGCCAGTTCCTGTACTGTTCAGGTGTCGGGAACTTGGGGAACAGGATCTTCTCGGCCTCCTTGGATTTGGTCTTGTTTACATCCTCATCAACTTCCTCCTTCTCGTTAGTCTTTCCTTTGGCAAGTTGCTTGATGATTGCCTTGAGCTGCTTGGGCGAGAGATCAGAAGAGGAACTGGAATCCCTCTTCTTGTTTTTCTTGTCTTTCTTCTTGCTCTTTTTCTTCTTATGACTGCTGCTCGAGTCATCATCATCGCTGCCGTCATCATCTCCATCAGGGCCTCCCCCGTCAGGGTGGCGTCGGGGCCTTGACCCTTTGGCGTCCTGAGGCGGAGTATTGATGGGATAGGTAGGGATCAGACCCGGTGGCGCAGATGGGGCGGACCCCGTTGCGCTTGCATGAGCCTGCAGAGCCGCGATGGCCTGGTTTAGCTGCGATTTCAGTTCAGCATTCTCCTTTTCAGCCATCTTTCTCTTCTCTGACTCGTGACTCATCATCACCCTGAAATCCCTAACTTCAGCAGTCAAGCGTGAAATCTCAACCTCAGATGTCGCCTGAACTGCATGTGTTGCCTGAGCAGCGGCGACACGGGCACTGTCCATTTCAGCATTGAGGAGATCCGCGTTGCTGACGGCCTTAGCTTCCGCTTGGTGAAGTTGATCACGCAACCTAGCGTAGGTAGCGTCAGCGTGGCTCTCAGCAGCGCTTAGTCTTTGGGCCAAAGCTTGAGCTTCACCTCGTGCCACGTTGATCTCATTGGCCTGCGAGTCAAGCTGCGACTGACCTGTTGCCAATCTCTGTCTGGCCTGTGTCTCCTCACTACCTAATCTGGTTTCGGCCTGAGCAAGTTCAACTCTGAGTTGTGACACTCCCGACATGACATTCATACCCATTGCTTGGAGTTGCTCCTGAAAATTGTTTGCGATCTGACCAATGATCTGATTGTGGCGATGTTCAGCTATTTGCTCGAGTAACGGCGACCTGTCGTTCTGAACAAACACATTGCTAATGTTTGCTTGATTCTGCAGGATTCGCTGATCGCCGATTGTCAAACTGTTCATAGTCGAGGAGGTCGGTGGGAAAAGACTCTGGGCTGACGGACTAATATCTTGGGATGAGCTTCCTCCGGCTGCTATCGGAAGGCTGGCCGGTGGTTGTCTAGCACTAGGGGACACAACCTGCCAAGGCGCGGACGCAGTCTGACGGCTCGAGGCACCGGTGGTGACACCGGCCTCGGAAACTGCACCCTTCTGAAAGAGCCTATGGTCATGTAGCCTTAGTGCGGTTGTGGTCAACGGGAGCTCACCCTCCCGGGGAGCGGCGTCCTCACCTGGAGCATTACCATCAAAGGACATGCTCAGGTTGCTCGCTCCGTCATCCGGGACTGGTATGCCTGCAGGACCTAGCGGAGCTTGGTCCGTCATCACAGAGTAGTCAAACTAGCGTGGTACTACGGCTGATAACCTATTGTTACCAGCAGACAGCCCCAATATTTAGGGAAACGTGCACACGCCTTTTTCTTGAGCCGTGAGCGAACAACGGTAAGTAATGAAATGTCTTTCTGTAACAACAAACAACCCACAGAAATGGAGGTTTAGGGTTTAGGGTTTGGATGCCCCCTCCCCCCTTGTTAAGGAGATTAGTATAACGGGGGACATCCCAATCTACAGGGCTTACCTGGACCCCCAAAGTATGTAAAAAAATGGCCCGAAACCTGCAAAGAGTATTTTGGGGGTTTAGGACCCTAAACCCTAAGCCCTAAGCCCTAAGCCCTAAACCCTAAACCCTAAACCCTAAACCCTAACTCTGCCAATCGGCTCCTGGAATGCTTGCAGCCGGAAGGAAAAGATGACCGAGTCCAGCTGCTTGAACCCACCGGACCTTACAAGACTTCAAGGGACTAAAGGCCCTTCTAAGGGGGTAGGGTTTAGGGTTTAGGGTTTAGGGTTTAGGGTTTAGGGTTTAGGGTTTAGGGTTTAGGGTTTAGGGTTTAGGGTTTAGGGTTTAGGGTTAGTATCATATCAAGGGACTCAAGGAGGGGCTTTTTACGGTCTTTTTAGGGGTTACTGCGGGGGCTTCTGAGGTACATTGTAAGATATATATATATATATATATATATATAGAGGGGCAGTTTGGGGACTAAAGGGACTAAAGGAGGGGCTTGAATCATTAGAGTAGTTTTTTTTTTTTTTTTGGGGGGGGTTCTTCTAGTATAATTACAAGGGGACCATAAGAGAATATTTATTAGTAATTATACCGACCCCTATATCAAAGGAGGGACCCTTCTAAGGGACCTTAGGGGCTTTTTAGGGTTTTAGGGGTTGCTTAGGTACATCGGGACTACACAAGGTATGTACATATATATATATATACATATACATATAGGGGTTATATAGGGGAATTGGATTAAGGGTCCCTTCTAAGGGTTCCTCTTTATACCAAGGAGTCATTTTACGAGCTATCCTCGGGGGCACAAACATAGCGATGACTGGAATGAATGCTACCATGGAGTTCAAGCAAGACGTCACCCTGACTTTGGAGGAGATCTTCATGCATATGGAAATCCAGAAGCAAAACCGAACTCCAACTGGATCCGGGAAGCCTAAACCCTAAACCCCGCCGGCTTGGGATGTTCCTACTCAGACCTAAGAGTCCTTCATAGGGATTATAGCACTAAGTACTACCTAATATAATCCCTATTCAGGAGCTGTTAGTATAAGGGGGAACTAAACCCCCTAAACCCTAAACCCTAAACCCCAAAACCCCAAAACCCTCAGGGCGGGACATCTTCACCTTCTCGCGGATCAGCTGCTCGTCCTCGGGATCACGGCACTTCGCTTTGGCGGTCCTGGTCGGCGCTGAGGGGGTTCAGGGTTTAGGGTTTACCTTGAGAACCAAAGGAACCCGAACATTGCGGTCATATTCCCTTTTTACCATAACTTCCGTTAAGGTAAATGAACCATAAACCCTGTTAAGTTAGGGTTCATATTCATATCGTCCCCAAGGTAGAGTTTAGGGAGGTTTTAGCAACGCTGGGATGTTGGGTTTCGAAGCTTCGGGCTTGGAGGCCGCCCCTTTTCGGGTTTAGGGTTTGAAAAGGTTCATGTGCAGATATCATTGGGCTGTGTATATATACATATGTTTGTATTTATTTGTTACTATACAAGTATCTTCCTGATGGTTCTACTGCACTACATCCGCTTAAGCTATCCTACTAATAACTCCACTTGAGATAAGTACCCATGAACCTTTAGGCAGCTTCGCCGCAGGCCGACGCCTACACTATCTTACACTCGCACGCGGCAGGCAAGGCAAAATTGCAAAGAGTCCGAAGAAAACACTGAGTTTGCACCTCTCAACCTTCACCCCCCAAGCACCCCAACCACCGCTGGAACTTCGTCTGCGCACCTTGCAGCCTGCAGGCTTCTCATATGTAGGCAGGCAGGAGCCACTGACTCTCTCCTGCATCCAATGTCCATCGTGACTCGTACTTCCAGGTGCCTAAGGCAGACTTAGGGCACCAGAGCCCTTGCAAAGACACAAGAATTAGGTCCCTGGAAGTATGTATGGGAATGAATGCTCACCAAAGGCCTTCGGCCCTCTCCTGCCTCACTTGCTTCCACACCTCTGCGCAGTCGGCATTGCAACGAGCAGAGCCGCGCAGCCGGACGCGGTGCATGAGCCGGTCGCCATGGACGGCACGCGGCCCTGCGTGCAAGCAAAGCCGATTGTCCCAAATCACGAAGTCACCGGGGTGCCAGCGGTGTGCGTACATCTCCTGATCAGCGAAGAAACTCTCGATGAGGTCGTAACAGGCGGCAGGGCCCTCGACGCCTTTTGGGGAGACCATGAACGCCACATTCCCACAGCTGATGCACAAGGCCTCATCTCCGGTATCTGCATGTCGCCGGATAATGGGATGCACCGGGCCAGCTTCAGCGGAAGCAAGCAACAGCTCTCGTGAGACCGGGGTCGTGACTTCCTCCTGGCCCGGCCGTCGAAGGCGCCTCAAGCCACCCTCCATGACGGGGCGTCCTTGTTTTAGTACATCGCGGCTTTGGTAATGCAGACGGCAGCCTCGCAGGAAAGCCAACTGCTCTGACGAAAGCTTTCGCAAAGGAGCGCGGGAGCACAGGAAGTTGGTTTCCCCAGTGCCGTCGGTGCAGGCCTGGTGGCAGTACATGCTTGTCAAGACCGGTAGCGTGTCGGAGTCGAAGTCGGCCTGGTCGTGTAGCCCATCCGAGTGGAAGCCTTCGGTGAGGAAGCCGACCGCCACCTGCAACGTCACCTCCTCAATTCCACAATGATCCTTGAAGGTGCCGTTGCCTTGCACCTGCACCAAGGGGCACCCCGGAACTGCATGCACGGGGACGCCAGAATCCACGGAGCTTGCAAAGCCAAAGTACTTCTGCGATGGCCCACCGACAGTCTCTTCAGCTGTGTCGTGGTAGCCGAATGCGCGGTTGACGTTGAGCTCCTGCTCCGGAGTCAGGTTTTGCTGCGGGAAGCACAGCACCCCGTGCTCGCTGATCAAACTTTGCAACACCTCGCCGTCTGCTGCCTCAACCTCTCGCAGGTCGACGCCCTCGATACGCGCGAAAGGCAGGCCTGCTGAAAGCAGCTGCACGCGTGCCTTGGCAAAGGCCTTTGACCGGGAGATTTCAGGAAACTCCATGGGTAGAAACCCTGTGACCCCGCACCCCCCGTAACCCCCATAGATGCTCTGAACACTAAACCTAGGGCTTCTCATGGCCGCAGCACACAAAAAGTACCTGCCGGAAAAAAAACTCAGGGTTTATCGTGCATAGGGTAGATCGGGCTTCTGGCATCATAGCCATTGTGGGAACTCTGTGAGCCCCACGCTGCTGCAAATTGGATCCTATGAGCCCCCTCACCCCACAAACCACCCCGAATCCGTGACCCTCAGCCCCCCAAGTCCTCAAGAGAGACAGATAGTCAAAGAGAGAGTGAGGGAGAGAGCTAAAAAAGTAAGATGGAAACAACAATCAGTTTAGGGCATTCCTACACCCCTCTCCGTAGAAACAGCCCTGAGACTCTTGTCCCTACACCCTAAACCCTAAACCCTAAACCCTAAACCCAAAACCCAAAACCCAAAACCCTAACCCTAAACCCTAAACCCTAAACACTAAACCCTAAACCCTAAACCCTAAACACCAGCACCCGGCCTGGCTCGCAGGAGTGCCTCGAACGCACCCGAGGCAGACTCCAGCGAGGCCTGTGGGTTGGGATGTTCCCCCTTCTACGAACAGGGATTCTACCAGGGTTTAGGGTTTAGGGTTTAGGGTTTAGGGCCCTAATCCCGATTAAGGACTGTTAGTATAAGGCCCAACTATACTACCAAAATATTCTAATAGGGGTACTCTCGTCCCTACTAAGGACTGTTATACTTAGTATAAGGGGGAAACATCCCAACCTGTGGGCGTTTGGCCAGCGCTTTATGGGCGGTTTGTTGCGTTTAGGGCTTAGGTTTCTTTGGCCGCCCGCCTAGCTGAACTTTACGTCCACGTTGCAAGGTTCTGGCATTAGTACGGTTGAAAAATAAGGGCATCACGGTTTTTTGCTTAGGGTCTATAGGGTTTTGGGGCTGAGCGGCAGAGGTCATTGGAGATCCAAGCAGGGGTTGACAGCAGGTTGAAAGGGCTAAGCTGAGGTGGCTCCGTTCCAATGGTTCCAGACAGGTTTCAACACCCTAAAACCCCCAAAGCCAAAAAGCATATAGCCAGTATCCGGAAGCCCCCAAAACGCCCTAGAATCCCAAAATGCCGACGGTGCTCTGTTGCCACTGAAGCGGGTTTAGGGCTTCGGGTACACCTAAGCCGAGAACATGTTCGGTCTCGGCTGTAAGGAGGTTCCGCTTTCGGTTGTGGAGGGCATTGGCAGAGGATTCTCTTCGAATTTCGGGTATGTCTGGGTATGTTGAACGTGGACCCACCCAACCCCATGTGGAACAAACCCCAGCAGCCAAAAGCATGCCCTCAAAATGCTATGAAACCCTATCAGCACGTCTGTTGAAAGCCAGGACATGCTGAGGCTCAAAGGTCCTGTCAACACCCGTTTTGAAACCTAAACCCCAACACCCTAACATCCTACACCCTAATTACACCCTAACATCCTACACCCTAACACCCTAAAGCCTCGACCCTAACCCTAAAAAGCCTATCAATCCCCTTACACCCACAACCCTCAAAAGCCGCCTCAGAGAAAGCCATGGCCACGGGGGCCTCCGGTGGGGGCACGCGCCGCTGGGGCTTTGGCTGTAGGAGATGAGGCTGTAACCTAAACCCTAAACCCTAGACTTTGGGCTTGGGGTGTCTTGGGTCGAGGAGGTCAGGGTCAAGGAGGTCAAGGTTGATCATCCAGGGCTTGGGCATGGTTTGGCAAGGAGTCCGAAGAATTTATGCTTCAAGTCATTGAAGCCCAGCCTAAATCCTCTGCCTGTTCCCAAAACCCAAAACCCAGAACCCTGAACCCTAAAACATAGCCGTCAACTTCTCCAAGCAGCTGCTCTCAGCTGGCGGGCTTTAGTGTTGAAGGGTCAGAGTTGCAGGGGCCTGGGAATTCGGGATCTCCGGAGAAAAAGCCCACCCACCCAAAGGGTTTCGGGTTTAGGGTTTGAGGTTTAGGGTTCCTGGTTTGCTCAGGGCCCTCCGGCCTTTGAGACCACAGCTTCCGCGATTTCGTACACGCACCACCTTGGTGAAGGGAACGTGCATGGACAGGCACGTGCATCAAGCCGACCTTCTACAGAAGGTATATGGGGGTCTACGAAAGTAGGCGTACCCCTGAGATAGACACATATATATATATATATATGACCCCGAAATAGTAGGATCCCCTTATTATCATAAGGACCCCAAGAAGGTACTCGCAAGATGGTAAACTCCCAGAGAAGAAGGCAGCCACTCTTCGACAGCGATCTCCGAGTTAGATAATTGTAGCGATGAGACCCCAGACCCTAAACCCTTTAAACCCTAAACCCTATAAACCCTAAACCCTAAACCCTCAACCCTCAACCCTAAACCCTAAACCCTAGGGTGAGGCTGGGAAGGCTGGGACGGCCGGGACCTGACCTTGCTCACGAAGACAAGCCCGTCAAAAGGAACCCGCAGCCGCAGAGCCCAGAAGCAGGATTCACTTGTGGACCCTAAACCCTAAACCCTAAACCCTAAACCCTAAACCCTAAACCCTAAACCCTAAACCTCTTTACAGTGCAGTGTCCCTCGGGCTTCCACAAGGAACAGAAGCAGGTAATCCCAGAACTCTGGACCCAGGCACAGCCTGGAGTAGACGTCGGCAGTGGACGTCTGAACTACGACCATGCCTCTCATGCTCGAGTCTCACCCTAAACCCTCTAAACCCTAAACCCTAAACCCTAAACCCTAAACCTACCCCAAATCCCGAAACCCAAAAAGTCAGGGGCGGCAGCCTTGTTGTGCCAAAGAGCTTTCGAGTCCCTAGTTGTTCACCTAGCCTCACATATCTCACACTCTGAGCCTAAACCCCATGTTCGGGTCACAATTAGCGCCTTTAAAAACCCAAGAGAATGCCTGGAGAAGTCCTCCAGGACCCAGGAACTTTAGATGAGACCTCCGGAACAGCCCCAATGCAATGGAATTGCGGTGCCAAGACAACTGATGCCTGCCCGCCTCATCCCCTCCCTCCCCCCCCCCCCATCCTAAACCCTAAACCCTAAACCCTAAACCCTAAACCCTAAACCCTAAACCCTAAACCCTAAACCCTTCCCCCGGTTTCTGGACATAGCCACAGAAGAGGGGGTGGCAGGGTATGGGCATGGTGCAGCTCCCTTGGAGGTTCATGGTACTTGAGAACGCACCTAAGGGGCTTCTAAGTAAGTTAAAAGTACAGTTAGAATTTGGTTATTTGCACCGTTATAATTGGGTTATAAGTCTACAGTTACCATAGGGTTACAAGTACAGTTAGAATTGGGTTCTAAGTACAGTTATAATTGGGTTATAAGTCAAGTACAGTTGTAATTGGGTTGTAAGTTGCAAGTACAATGAACCACCAAGCACCCCCCCCCCCCCCCCAACATTGCTGCAGCCATGGCTCCCAGGCCGCTGCAAACCTGAGCGGACTGAGGGCTTAGGTTTTAGGATTGTAGTCGGAGGGTTTAGGGCCTGCCTGAAGACTCCAATGCAGTTTTTGTTTGGGGTCTGTTGCGGTTTCCAGTTAGGAGTCTTGTATACCACCCAAAAAGGAACTACATTCGAGTCTTCAGGTCCGTTGTTGGCTTGTAAGTAAGGATTTAGTTTTAGGGTTTAGGGAAGTGTTTGAGTCTCCTTTTTAATAGTTTTTGTGAAGGCTTTCTTTTTCTTTGGCGGTGGGTTGACAGCCTTATGCCACCAATTCCATCGGCGCGCTTCACGTGTCCCCCTCATGAGGGAAGCCTACAACAGTAAACCCACCCCAACCACCCCAGCAAGAAGAGCTGTCAGGGCGTAGGGTGTCAGGGCCTCATGGAACCCTAAACCCTAAACCCTAAACCCTAAACCAAAAACCCTGAACCCTAAACCCTAAACCCTAAACCCTAAACCCTAAACCCTAGCGCAACAACTCGGCCTTGCCTCGCGGATTACGGAGCCAAAGGGGTCCATGGCCAGCTGTGCGTTCACTGTTGGGCCTCACTTGGAGTCGAGGCTTCACCCTAAACCCTAAACCCTAAACCCTAATGTTGTATCCTGATTAGTGTGCTCCCCCGGAATTGTGGAAAAAAATCCAAAAATTATTCAGGTGGATCTATTTGAGGAGGACCCCCGGAATTGTGAAAAAAAATCGGGCGATGCAAAATTTCGGCGAGGCTGTCGAATGGTGTTGTCGTCCAGAAATCGCTTCTGACCTGAGCCTGAGGTTGTCAGGCCCTGAAATCTTCAGTCTCCAGGCCAGCCCCAAAACTAAGATTTCCTTATTAAATTCTTTTGTACCGAGGCCGGGCAATCAAATTTCAAAGGGGGTAGTCCAGCAGCTGCCCGACTGCCGTATAATGTAAAAAGTTTGCTCCCCCGGAATTATATTTTTTTTGCGGGCTGGTTGGGTTTGGATCCAGAGGCCTAAGGGCTGAGGCCTCCTAAACCTTGAGGCCTGAGGTTGTCGGGCCCTGAAATCTTCAGTCTCCAGGCCAGCCCCAAAGCTAAGAGCTCCTTATAAAATGCTTTTGTACCGAGGCCAGGCAATCAAATTTCAAAGGGGGTAGTCCAGCAGCTGCCCGTATGCCGTATAATATAAAAAGATTGCTCCCCCGGAATTATATTTTTTTTTGCGGGCTGGCTTGGTTGGGACAGATGGATCCCCTTTAAATTCATATAAACTCATCCCTTTCAAAATCAGGTGGATCCCTTTTAACATCATATAATCCCTTTTAAATTCATATAAACCCATCCCTCTTAAAATCGTATGGATCCCGTTTAATTTCATACAGTCTCACCCCTTTTAAATTCATATGGATCCCTTTAAAATTCATACGAGCTCATCCCTTTTAAAATCATATGGATCCCTTTTTAAATTCATGTAAACTCATCCCTTTTAAAATCATATAAAGCCAGACCCCCCCCCCCCCAAATTGCCCCCCCCCCCCCCACACTAAAGAGCGGGATCCATTCGTTGAGGGGCGGGGGGGGGGGGGGGGAGGGGGGGGGGGGAGGGGGGGGGGGGGGAGGGGTGGGGGGGGGGGAGGGTGGGGGGGGGGGGAGGGTGGGGGGGGGGGCACACTAATCAGCAGACCACATTAAACCCTAAACCCTAAACCCTAAACCCTAAACCCTAAACCCTAAACCCTAAACCCTAAACCCTAAACTAAACCCTACACCTTTTTACTTATAAAGGTTCATGGGTGAGCCCCGTCGAAAGGCGACCGATATTGGAATTGTGTTTCGTTAGATTATGTCTTCACAACCCTATACTGACATGAACATTTTTGAAAATAGGGGTTCCTTTCTTTCGCCACAGAAGATAGAATTAGGGAACTGGGCGGTGTCGTTTATCATTCTGTAGAACCCCTTCAAAGTTCAACACAGGACCCTAATTCAACTATAAGAACTCATCAGCAGGATTATATGGCAATAATCCCTCTTCAGGCATACCCTAAACCCTAAACCCTGAATACAGGGTTTAGGGTTTAGGGTTTATGGTGTAGGGGTTCAGGGTTTAGGGAGTCCCCCCCCCCCCCTTTACGGCGGCGTTGTCCCAATATTCTGTCTTTTTGGGAGGGTTCCTCTTGCAAAAGTGCTACACGATCTTGGGGCCATGTAAGGGGTACCTCTGATTTGGGGTTTAGGGTTTAGGGTTTAGGGTTGCCCAAAACTCCCAGGTTCTCGTGCCCATGAAGGGGCGAGGTCTGGCTTTGGAGCTTTTTGGCTTCACCATGTTTGGGGTGAGAAGTGGTTCGGGCTTGTAGGGTCTATATCTTGGTAGCCCAGTAACCATATTACTGTAAGGGCACCCTTTTTTGGGCTGGTTACTTATAAGGGAACCCAGAACCAAAAAAATGTAAAGGGTACCACTGGCAAGATATAGGGTTTAGGAAAAAAGGTTTGAAAGTTAGAAGGGCCAGGCCAACAGGCGGTCTGTTTGTCCGCTTCAGGGCTTGGGGTAGGCTTTAATGGGTTTTCGGGGGTCGGGGCTGCGATACCTTCTTTGAGATGCATGCCCCGGGCCCTTGCAAGCTCATGTGCCTACTCCACAGACACGGGCAGGCAATCTCAGCAAGAAATATGTACACTGGTCCACAAGCATGTAAGACGTGGGCCTCTTGGGATCTGGCAAACCGAAGTCCCTAGCCAACAATCCTCTCAGGGGTTAGACCCTGAACCCTAAGAGAAACTGTAAGGAACATAGGACTCTTGGCACACAAAGCCCCAAGCTGTAAACGGCAGGGAATAGACCATAATCACAGACCGCAACAAGGGCCCTCAATTGTTTGAACCCTAAACCCTAAACCCGAAACCCTAAAGCCCTACACCCTAAACCAACCCCGATCGGTCCAAGGCACCGCAATCTCCAGGCTCAGAACCTGGCTGGTACTGGGCAAAGGCACAGAACCACCTCGGCGCCACTTGAGCTTAGGGTTTAGGGTTTCGGGTTTAGGGTTTGGGGTTTAGGGTTTGGGGTTTCGGGCCTATAGGGCTTGGGGTTTAGGGCTTAGGGTTTATGAGGGTTAGGATCCGTGAGCCTTTTGAGTCACGAACGCTCCCTCAAGCCCTGCACCCAACCCTAGGTCAGCCCATTAGGGCTTGAGACGCTTTATGGGTTTAGGGTTTAGGGTTTAGGGTTTAGGGTAGGGGGGGGGGGGGCTTAAAAGGGTTTGCAAGGGTTTGTACAGGCTTCGAAGAAGAAGTGGCTTACATACTGAGGATGGTTACGTTCCGGGTCGGTAGGGGGCCTTCCCACATCCCCGCCCGTTTTTACAGGCCCTGCGCCATGTGCGTCTTTGCAGGGCCCAGTTCGAACCAACAAAAGCGCCGGTCGCCACTGAGCGACAAGACCACGGCGGCTGCCAAGCATTTACCTCAGATCAAAGCCAGGAATACTCTATTGCACCCTTTTTGCTAAACCCTAAACCCTATAAATCCTATAAATCCTATAAACCCTATAAACCCTTGCAACGAGCTAGGCCTTTTGACGGTCCACTGGTAGTGGGTTTTTAGCAGGGCTTTCAGCAAGTACCTTGTAGCACACTCCGAAACCCGAAACCCAAACCCCAAACCCTAACCCCAAACCCTATATCTTATGGCGACCGCCACTTAGAGCGAGTCGAGTCATGGGATTGGTGCAAGGGGATCGACACACTGTGCCAACTTACCCTCTAGAACAGCTCAAGCCGGTCATATCTCGGGCAAACGATGCTTGCAACGGAAGTCTACCCTTGTACATTCGTAGCTTGCGAACTCATTCTACTATTATTGTGATGATGAGTGTTTATTATCTTTATTTTTGACTTGTGATTATAATGAAATGGTTTAAAAGAGTGTTATCTTACTGTATCCTCTCTCTCTGCCGGAAAGAAATACTAAATTCATATGTTTTGAAGGTCAACGGCATTGTTATGGGTAGGCTTAGGGGAGCGTAGGGGCGTCACCAACCCTAAACCCTCAAGTTTTTTGCTTCAGGGCTCCCGTGGTAGCTTGCCTGTGAGGTGAGTTTGTTCAGGTTCCCTAAACCCTAAACCCTAAACCCCAAACCCTAAACCCTAAACCATGCACGCGGATGTTTCATCACTGCACTCAGACAGCGAGTCGCTACCTCAGGGAAGCAGGGAGACCCCCTGGGCGCAGCTGAAGCCGCCCCTGCTTGAAGGTTCAGTGGGTAGTTCTATTTAGGGTTTACGGTTTAGGGTTTAGGGTTATAAGTACCCTCAACAAGGTTATGGCCAGTTATAAGTATAGTTACCCTACTTATAACCCCACTTATACATGCCCAATAACCTCCAAGTCAGGGGAAAAATCTCGCCCTCGAGGACCTTTGATCCTGGCGGGTCCCCGAAGAACGCTATGCAGCAAGACATGAAGCGTCAGTTTGAGGCTTCATAGCCCTAAAAACCCTAAAACCCAGAAAACCCTAAACCCCTAATAACCCCTAAACGCTAGACCCTGCTCGAATTCCCTGCTCACCTTTCGGCCTCCTCAAGAACCACTGGCCACAGAAGCCCTCTGACACATATTCCTAAACATGGTCCTCTTAAACCCAGAAAGGGAAAATATGAAAATCACCCTAAACCCTAAACCCTAAACCCTAAACCCTAAACCCTAAACCCTAGAGACTCAGTCCGGCTCTAGACTCGGAAGGCTCAGTCCGCCGAGCCTTCAGAGGAGGACTCTGCGCTGGACTCTGCATCCTGACATGCTCCGGCCGGATGGAAGCAAGCGTTAGGGTTTAGGGTTCAGGGTTCAGGGTTCAGGGTTCAGGGTTTAGGGTTTCGGACTTAGGGTTTAGGGACTTGAGGGTGAGAATGTTGACTTCAACGCGCTCCGGACGCTGAAACCGTTTTAGATTTGGTCCTTGAAAGCTGGGCGGAGCCCACCGTCGTTTCCTTTTGTCAAAGGTTGCAAGGGTTGAGTCGGTACAATTACCTGGGCTGCTCTTTCAAGGGTGAGCCTGCCACCTTTCAGTTGATTGAACTCTGGGTTGTGCTTCAAAACATAAGGGGAGGCTTGCGCGGGAGTCGACTCAAGGGAAACGGGTTACTTCAATGGCTTGTGGTACTTCTAAGTCGGGTGAAAAGTACTTAACCTAGGACTACATAAAATAAAGATCTTCTTTCTTCTAATTCCAACTATATCTGCCAAGAGCCTTCAAGAAGCAGTTGTTCAGACCTCATGATTTCGAATTGAATTCGAAGAGGGTCCACACATCCAGGGGCTTTTGTCCAACTTGGGTTACCCCCAAAGTATGGTGCCCTTCTGTTTGGAAACCCAGACTCCTTAAGACAGCTGGGAACTGTGGTGCGGTAACCCCTAAACCCTAAACCCTAAACCCTAAACCCTAAACCCTAAACCCTACATTGCCTGTGCAGGGCCATCGGACCCCCGAACCTTCTCAGATTGCTCTCCAGGGCTCCGCGCACCAGTTGCAGTTGCAGCAGCAAGGCTCGCACCAGAATATCTCTTCGCCTCTCTTTTAGGGGTCACGAGGTGCCCATAAAGCAAATTACAACAAAGAAGAAGAAGAAGCCAAGAATAGACAAATATATATATATATATATACATAGATGTGTATATATGATAGAATAGAATATAATCCAATACAATACAATATAATTTAATGCACATATACATGAAAAGGAAAAAGCCCGGCAAGGGCTGAACCCTTACACCCCAAACCCTAACCCCCAAAACCTGCAATGGCAATGCCCCTAAAGCAATCGAACCCCAAAACCCCTAAAGCCCCCCTAAAGCCACCCCAAACCCTCAACCCCAAACCCTCAACCCTAAACCCCAAACAACCCCTGTCAACGAGCCGCCATTCCGCGCGCAGGCCGAGAGGTAGCCACGGAAGCTCCGCGCCAGGAAGAGCCGAAGAAAGCGAAGGCCGCAGGGAAGCCGGGCAGTGCCTGCTTATCATAGGGTTTAGGGTTTAGGGTCTAGGGTTTAGGGTAGGGGGTTTAGGGGGTTTTAGGGGTTGTTAGGGTTGAGGGGGGTTAGGGGTTTAGGGTTCATATACGGTTTACGGGCTTAGGGGTGAACTCTTTTTTTGTTGGGGGGGCGGGGGGCAGAAAAACTTCAGTGCTATGGGCTGTGTAAGAATGTGAGGCTTCGGGCCTCGTGGTTCTGCCTTGCATTGGGGTCCTTGCAAGTATTCTGCCAGATTGGGGGGTGGGGGGGGGTCTAACTGCCCCATGCAACCTCAAGGGCAAGGAGGCTTGGGGTTTAGGGGCTTATTGCCATGACCACGCGCTCGTCGGGTGCTAGCCCCGAGTTCTTGATGGCTCCCGAATTCCCGTTTCTTCTTTGGTAAGTGCAACACTGGTGGCTCCTGCGAACATCGATGCTAATGAGTTGCGACAAGCTGTTGGGGATTCATGATGTCGGAGGTTACGGCAGACGTTCGTGTGTTGCTGCAAGCCTCTGAAAATTCAGGGTTTAGGGTTCAGGGTTTGGAAGCTTGGCAGGGGCTGCTTTGAGGGCTCCAGTGGCTCGAGGCTCGGTCACTCTTTGGGGCACTGGCAACTGAATAGATTAATTATTTACAACTGAGTTGAAGAATGAGATTATGGATTTGGGGCATATGACTTAGTCTACATAGTAAGTCTTGTTTCGAGGCATGTGGTTTTTCCCCAGACCAGGCACCCCCCGGGGAGTGGGACCCCAAACTTTTCGGAAACCCCAGTTGGGTTTTGGGGTTCGCTTCAGGCCGTCCTGTTCGTTTTGGATGGCCCTGAACCCTCGAGGAAGGCAGGTGCCGGCATTGAACAATCATGTTATGAAGTACGGCTTAAAATTCTTGTATCCCCAAAAGGACACACTCACCAATACTAGACATAAAGGATCCTTATAACCACTCACCAATAGCAGTGATATAAACCCTGATTCATATACCTTATGAGCCACGGAAAACCGACTTTTCGTTGGTTGCCTATCCAAAGCGGCCGTGGGTTCGCAAGGTACAGGGCGAGCCCAACAAGCAAGTGCTTTCGCGGATCTCGTCCCTGGCCACCGACAAGCCCAAGCCCAGCCCACGTGAACTTCTGAGGGCCACTACGTGGCTCCAAAAGCCCTGCCGCTATCAGCCTCAATTATGTCTTCACGTCGGGCACCTGGTTTAGAAGTGCTTTTTTGCCCCAATCATGATCTGGTTCACCATCTTTTCCAGACGAATCCCCACGGCAAATCTCCGTTGCGTTTGTTTACGATGTTTCGCGAATCTAGAGCTCCATTCAGGTCCCAAAACTTCATGTTCACATGGCCAAGTTCCGTTACACGAAGAGGGCAAACGAGACATTTCAATGGCTGTCAACAATATAGCCCAAAAACCACGATTAGGTCTTGGCATGCCTTTCCTCCATATCTGCTGAAACCCTCGCAACTCTCAGCGGCAGCCCGACAACCAAAGCCAGGAGAGCACCTCGAATGCCCAGCACGGCAAAGAATTCGGCCGCCAGGCAGCAGAAGCATCGATGGCAGGCGGCTACCCTGTGGGACCAGGTGAGCTTGGGTGTTATGGCCGAGGCTTCTCGTGAGCACGCAAAGAAGACGCAGAGGGATGTTAAGTAGATGTGACTTGAAGGGGAACCCTTTGGATCAAATCTATACTATATGTTTCCCACATTCAGAATTCCTGTTCATGGCTTTCTAGTTTGGGAAACTTCGGGCCCCACGTTTTAACCGTGAACTCGCGGACTCGCACAAGCTTGCACTTTCAGAAGCCCGCCAGGAATTGACGGGAATGTGCGTGGCCGCAAAGCTCTCCCACACCAGAATCTGTCAGGGACAGGGACAAAGCTGGAAGTGCTTTTCGGAGGGAAGCTCTCAGTCAGCATCCACTCAATGCCTGATACATTTGAAAAAATTGGGAATTCCCAATGTCAGGCAGCAGCTGCTACACAGGGAGCCTCTGGCAGAAGCACAATGAGGTAGAGTATTGCCAGCTTGGTTACGACCATCAAAATGAAGCACGTCTCCTTGGCTCTCAGGCGAAAGGAAAGACACTTCAGAGATGCGAGCTTCTCACAGCCGTGGGCGAACGAGCTCGCTCAACGCAAGGGAGTCAATTTTGAACAACAATGCCAGGTGTCGTCCGGAGGACTGCAAAGTGTCATCCAGAGCAGGTGCACACGTACCACGACCGTGATTGCTTCCAAGGCAGGTATTACTATCCAGGTTGGGTTTAGATAGAAGACGTTGAAGAACAGCTTCATGGCGCCGATGATATTCAAAGGTACCAGGAAGATCCTTGGTTGCCCTGGAACGCCACATTGTACTAAGGGCGCCCCCTGTTTGGGTTGGTTGCTTTATCAGGGAACCCAGAACCTCAAAAAAAAAAAAAGTAAAAAGGGTACCTCGGGGCTACCAAGGATCAGAGGCATGGTGAGCTCCGAGTGTGCTGCCTTGGTGATGTTGACACCCCGCCGTGCGATCGCCCGCAAGGATGGTGTTGATACTCCGGCAGCCATGAGAACCTCTCAGAGGTTTAGGGTCTAGGCATCTAGTCGTCTTTTCCCAGTATACATTCTATGTCCATGCCCTTGCGATGTCTGGGCCAAGATCCAACCCTTCCCTGCCTCAATGGCATAGTCAACCTCCCGCATCTTGGCACCAATCTCCCTGCGAATGTGCTCATCATCTTCGGGCCGCGAGCATGAGGCGTGGGCGATGGAACCAGCATATTCTGGCAAGGCGGAAAAAAGTCGGGTCTAGGGTTGGCTTGGGTATGCGCCAATATCATGAGGGATCATATGGCAACTGCAAAGATACCAGATCCTGACAGCCCGGGCCTCGCCCCAGCTGCGCAGCCTCGCTGACTGCTGCAGTGCCTCTGACGCGATCGACCTTCGGCAGGCGGATCTTGCTCCAGGAGTTTAGGAAAAGTTGAGTTCATCATGGGCAAGAGAGAAACTACACGACAGCCCATCGTGAACGCGACCTGGAGCACTAGTATGGGCTCTGAGACCCAGAAGCCATCGTAGGCCCCACAATGTACGGGTTGTTGGGGGGGACAAATTCGGAGCCTCATCGAGCCCTATGTACCCTTTTTTTACAGAGCGACACTCTACATACCCAAACCCTAGAGAAACTCTGCAAACCTTAAGCTGCAAACCCATTGCTTTCAACCAATAGCTCTCTGAAGGAGCCAAAAACACCGGCCGAGAGCAATAGTTGCACGGCCCCTTGATATGGGCCCTTCCAAGGGGGCCCCTTCTATACCCCCGGTATACCTTGTGCATATTAAGTGCCCATACATCAGATCCCTTTAGGGGAGGTAAGGGTCCTTAAGGGTCCATGAAACCTTAGCCCTGAGAACCCACATTAAAACATGTTGACAATGCCTTCTTGCGCCTCTTCAAAGGAATGAGAGAGAGGCATCCCGAACTCGCCTCCAGGAGATAGAAGGCGCTGGCAAAGGCCAAGAGCTCGAGGCGTTGTAGACCCGCATAGATGGCCTTGGGGGGGGTGGGGGGGGGAAAAGAAGCTTAGGGGGGCTTGAGGGTTTTGAGGGAGGGTTTAGGGTTTAGGGTTTGGGTTTAGGGTTTAGGGTTCCCCCTCCCCTCAAAAGCTGCCAAGAGTCGAAGCCGTAACCGCTGTCTTCGGCTTCAGCGCCTTTGCCAAACAGCAAGCTAAACTACACCCTGACCCCTTAACCACCCCGCCCGGGGGTCTGTACGGAGATCGCCCGAGATCGTCTAAGCAAGGGTTTGAGGGGAGGTTCGGAGTTGAGGGGGTCAGAGGCTTTACTTGGAGGTTCATGGTACTTATGACCCAACCGTAAGTGTACTTTTGTGCCACTTTAAGTGCCCTAATTTGTTACAACTGGGTAAAAAGTAGGGCGGGTTATTGAGACCATGAACCTGACGAAACCCTAAACCTTAAACCCTAAACCCACAATCCCTATTTATACGAGGAGGGCCCTAAGTAGGGATCTTTGGGGCAAGAGTTGCTACAGGGTGGAGGCTTTGAGAAGGGTTCACGAGCTTGGGATGGTTTGCCCCGAACGCCGAGCCTTCTGTTTTTGCTTTAGGTTTAGGGTTTAGGGTTTAGGGTTTAGGGTTTAGGGTTTAGGGTTTAGGGTTTAGGGTTTAGGGTTTAGGGTTTAGGGTTTAGGGTTTAGGGTTTGGGGAAGTGTTGTGCCCTTCAGATGTTGCAGGCAGTTTTGCAGGCATCAGGACTTCCTCTTCACCTGGGTTTACCTTCGTTGCTCTTGTTAGCGTCCTATAGAATCCTTTATACATGGAGGGGGGGGGGGGGGGGGGGGGGGTGTCCGAAAATAGGGGTACCCTTTTGGGGTTCCTAGGATAAGAATTTTCGTACTTCGGGGTATGTTAGGGGTAGCCTTATTCTGGGAAACCCCCAGATACAACCGCTTATGAAACAAGGGACTCTCTTCCAGAACAATCCCCACAAGCATCCTTTCACCATGTAACATGAAGGCCGACCCTGACCCGGATACTAGATCAACAGACACGAGCACTAAACTAGGGTAGCATTCAGGCCAATTCGGGCGCCGTCAGATTATCTGTATTAAGAAAGCTTTGGGCTCGACCCCTTCCAGTGGTGAAGCTGTAGTCAACCGAACGTCGAGGGAACGCCATGTTTGCTGTTCCGCATCTTTCCCACGAATATGATTCTGGGGAACCGCGTGATTTGATGAATCATGGCGCCACACATCAGGGAGACCTTGCCACTCCGCCAGCTTGTCCAGTCGGAATGACGGATACTACTTTCACTTGGGGGCTTCAGCTTCTTCAACGCATAGCCTCAGCCAATTACGAGATTGTGCCGCCAGTGGTGTCTTCAGAGCTGGTGAAGGGTTTTCCAGCCGTTCACTTGTTGCCGCCAGTCCCGTGGTCCTTTCGCTGCTTGGGCATTTTGCTGCCTTTTGTGCACCAGAATCATTGGACTGTGTTGGTCTTGCAAGTTGAGTCAGCAGGTCTTCAGGCCACGTGCTTTGATGGCATTCCGCATCGCAACGCCATGGCCGCATCGCAGCTTGCCAATCTGATCGGGAGAACATGGGGCATGCCATGCTTGTCCTTTGCTGAAGTGACGCTTGGGACGCAAAAGGTGGCCCACACATGTGGCCAAATCGCCTTGGCTCACTGCGCGATCCTGTTGCGCCCGTTATCGGCTTCCTTCGAACAGTTCTTTCGATGGGCTGACCAGCTCGCGCAATCCGTGCCGTTCTTGCCGTATGCTGTCTTTGGTGCAGGAGGGCTCTCTGAGAGCCAGAGTCGGCAGTTGTCTGACACCCTTTTGTCCAAGGGCGTTCCCTCAGAGAACATCGCTGCCCGCATCCAAGCGGCTTGTTCCAAGGTTGGCGTGGTGCCCATTGCCACCGCACTGGCGTCAAAGCACCCGTGGGCTGCACTAAAGGCAGCCGCTGGCAAGCCTGGAAGTGCTTTCAGATGGGTTTCAACTGATGAACTCCAGGCTCAAATTGATGCTAAGGCTTCAGCCAAATTCGGCACGACTGTGCCAAATGGGAAAAGCAAGAAAGCGAAGGCCAAAGGTGTCAAGAAGTCAGGTTCCCCCTTGCTCATTGACCCTTCCACGTTGCAGATGAGCCCGGACAGCTTCTCTTCCAACGATGGACAGCCACTTTGCCAGTTAGCTATGGACGAGGTGCAGCCCATGGCACGGGGCATTTGCTTTTGCACTCCAGCTGAGGTTGCCCCTTTCCTGAACAACTTTAAGTCCATCAGTGTTGATGCCCTAGGCCTCTTGACCACCGCAGCTCTACCAGCTGAAGCGGTCGGTGCTGCGCCTGTCACTGCCCTTCGCTATCCGGCCATTTATGGTCCCACTCAGGAGGCCGTACTGATTTCAGGCAGCCTGGTCCAGCTGGGTGACGCCTCCGTGCAATTGACCACTCATGACATTGCTGAAGTAGAGCAACTTGACACGGTGGTGATCAAACTCTCGCTTTATCGTGACCAGTGCTCCATTGGGTGGGAAAGGATTTGTGAAGCGCCCATCCGCGCGCTGCTACAGCAAGTGCCTGAATTGAGCCTTTGTCAGGTTGCGGGCTGCAAGCAGGACTCGGGTTGTTCAAGATTCCACCCAGCAGTTGAAGAGCAGGTTGACCACCTCCTGCTTGACATTTGGGGGCGACAGTTTCAGAAACTGGGTGGGGGCAGAGAAGAGCCTTCCCAAGCGTTCGTCTTTCAAGCCTACATCCGCGTTCCGGCCTCAGCGGTGCCCCATCTCCATAAGATAACTTACCCAGGCCTCTTCTTCGAACCTCGGGCGGCTGATGGATCCGGCCCACATGCCGGCTACGCCGTCGTTTGGCTCCCGGGGGCCACGGCCGAAGAGGCGCGACACGCGCTTCGCACTTGTGACAAAGCCATTGCCTTGACGCGACTTGGAAGTAGGTTTGGCGTGAGGGTCAAAGAAACAGACGAAGAGATTGCCTTCAACATGCTTCGTCCTGCGCACCCATTTGTCAAAGTCCGCATCTCCGCGAAATACAAGCTTCATCCACTGCCGTTTGGTTGTCAACGACAAGCCCTACTCAAGATCCTGCAACACTGGCAGTGGTCTGCTAAGCCACTTCAGCCAGACAAAGGAACTGCAGAAGGTGCTTCTTGGATCGTTGGTGCCTCTTCTGAGCCGCCTGCCTTGGCCCTACCGCTCGGCGAAAGCCATGTCATTGTGACGAAAGTCCAGGACCTTGGCAATGCCAAGTCCAAGCCCCCTGCCCTGTACGCCTCCTCACGTACCATCAAACACATCAGGTACGATGATGGACCAACAGACCCTGCCATTGACCCCTGGAGCGATGGCCAAGATCCATGGGCCAAGGCTCGCCAACAGTTTGCTCCTCCTCCGGGGCTTTCGCTTGTTAAGAGTTCCCAGCCCTCGCCTGGCCCGTCCAAACTTGAACAACTCGGCTCCGAACTCAAACAGGATCTCAGAAGCCTCATGCAGACCGAGCTTGCGTCCAGGTCGGCAGGTCAGGACTCAGTCAGTTCGGCGCAGGAGGCTAGACTTGAAAAGCTTGAGGTTGGTATGAAAGAACTCCAGGAGCAAAACCGTAAATTTGAAGGCTGGTTTGCCACTTTTGGCAATCGTGTGTCTGAGCAAGCCACTACCATTCAAGGAGTCCAGCACACGCTGCAAAGCCAAAGCCAAGACATCCACAGGCTGCGCTCAGACGTCGAGATGACGGTCGGCAATGCGGTTGGCCAGTTGCAGGCTGATATGACCCAACAGTTGTCTGCGCAGCTGGCAGGCCAGCTTGAACAAATTCAGGCCTTGTTCGCAGACAAGAAACCTCGCACATCTTGACTAGGTCTCCCAGGCCGTCGCTTCGCCGTCAGCGCCGGGCCTGTTTGCAAGTTGCCCACCTTTTTCGGCTTACTCCTACAGCTGTTTCTCCTGTTGCCGGTTGCTTGTGGTTTGCAGCATCAGACCGGCGATCGTTCTTCGTCTGTTCTGGGTTCCGCAGTTGAGCCCACTGGAAGTGTGATAGATGGGCAGTCGACTGCCTTCCTCTTCGAGGCTCTTCAGCCACTCCTGGGTGCAACAACTCGATTCGGTGAGGCTGACAATCCTGGTCCTGAGTCGCCGCTTCTGACGATTGGAGTTTCCAATCCTTCAGGCCTTCGGGGGAAGGAGGCCATACTGTTGGAATGCGGCTCGGGCATTCATTGTGTGTCAGAAACACAGCTTTCACAAATCACGCAGCGTTCTTCTAGTGCTGCTCTTCGCTCTCTTGGCAAACAGCAGAATCGCCATGTGCGCACATGTTACGGCGCGCCCGAGCCCTTACGAACTGGCTCCGCTTGGGCTGGCTCTTGGACCGGCGTTGCGCAAGTTACGGATTTCCCATCCAGGACCTTGCAAATACCATGGCCTTCAGGCGCATGGTACACTGGACGCATCATGCTGGCGCAACACCAGGTCGTTGACCTTCCGGTACTTGTTGCCACTGTGTATGGCTTCCCATCTGGGCCAACATATCCAGATGCCAAACCTCGGACCGAGTCCCTGCTTGCTTGCCTGACCAAGGAGCTTGTTCATGGTCGCTCTGGCTTCAGGGTAATTGCGGGTGATTTCAATCAGGACGAGAATGCTTTAGAGCAAATCCAGGTCTGGAGAAGCCTAGGTTGGGTTGAGATTCAAACCCTGGCTGCTTCGCGGTGGGGTCATCTTGAAGTGAACACTTGCAAAAACGCTACCAAGCGTGACATGATCTATGTCTCCCCTGAAGCGGCAGCATTTGCGTCAGCTGTGCAGATCACACAGGTCTTCGCAGACCATGATACAGTTGTCGCCTCTTTCAGTGTTCCTGACTCGGCAGGCTATGAGTTGCGCTGGCCACTGCCAGCAGAACTTCCGTGGGAAGACATTGATATCACAGGCTGGCGCCAGGCCCCATTCCCACCAGTCCAGAAGAGCAATAATTCCACGGTGTGGATGCAAACATTTGCCCGTACATATGAATCAAGCCTGAATGGCTTCGTTGAAGGTCGCCCCGGCCGACAGGTGCCCTCAGCATGCCGCGGACGGTCCAAACGCACTAAGCCTGACTGCCGGACTGCCACTTCTGCGCTGGTTCGAGCAAGTCGTCCGGGGGAAGAGGTGCTGTGTCATGATTTCATCAGCCAAGAGCTCAAGCGATGGTTCGCGCAACTGCGCAGACTTCAAAGTTTGTGTCACGCAATACAGGCCAACAGCCAAACTCCAGGGGCACTGGAGTATAGAGCTTCGTTGTGGAGAGCAATTTCCTCCGCCAAAGGGTTCCAACACGGCTTCTGCGCCTGGTGGATGCGCCGGCCGATTCAGTTGCAAGGTAGCCCTCCGAGCATTCCCCTAGGTCTCCCGGGGCTAGACACGGCCTCTGCAATTTTTCAAGACTTTCGGGAAAACTTTCGCCGTTTTGAATCCTGGAGCATCGGCAAGCGGGCACAAGTTCTGGACGCGAAGTACCAGCAATCCCTAGAACTGCTCTACAAGGACCTACATAAACCCGCTGCCCCTCAGGTCGACACTCTTGTAATCCATCGTGAGTACGCCATTTTGGCGTTTGAGCCAGAAACCAGACAGGTGCATGTGGATCCTCCTTTGGACCTTCGTGGTTCCTCTACCTGGCAAGTTGATGGCCACGTGTTACGGCTTGAACGGGTCACTGATGAAGTTTGCACCTTGTCTGGTGAATGTCCACTGCATGAGGATTCCGAGCTTTTGCAGGCCCAAACTTTGGCAGATGTCTCGGATATTCATGATGAATTCGTTTCTCTATGGGCCCCAAGATGGCAGAAACATGCTAGTTGTAGTGAAGCGGATTGGCGTCGGGTCCTGGCTTTTGCTGAGGCCTTCCTGCCAAGGTCCCCCTTCAACCTTCCACGCATTTCAGTAGCACAGTGGCAACGCAGGATTCGAAAGTTCTCTTCTCGTGCGGCGCGCGGCCCCGACGGCTGGGCGCGAACGGATCTTTTGAACATGCCCACTGCGGCAGTTGAGCAGCTTCTAGACATGTTGCACTTGATCGAGGCAGGCACGGCGGCATGGCCGCAACAGATCCTCGTTGGCTTTGTTCTGTCTTTGGTGAAGCCAAATGGTTGCACTGATGCCCAAGGCTACCGTCCAATATGTCTGATCAGCATGATTTACCGTGCTTGGGCAGGGTTGCGGGCAAAACAGACTCTTCTGGCGCTGTCCAACCTTGTTGATCCAGACTCCCTTGGATTCCTTCCGAATCGCGAGGCCACGGAGCTGTGGTTCATTCTGCAGAGCCAGATTGAGCTCAGCCTTCAAGGTCAATCTCCTCTAGCAGGATTTAGTTCGGACATAGTTAAAGCCTTCAATAACTTACCTCGTTTTCCACTCCTGCGCATTGCCTCACGGATTGGCTTTCCGCCAAACCTGATCTCACCTTGGCGAGCTTTCCTTTCAGGCTTTTCCCGAAGGTTTAAGGTGAGGGACGCGCTGAGCCCAGGGGTCTCCAGCTCCTCTGGATTCCCAGAAGGCGACCCACTCAGTCCCATCGGCATGCTGCTTGCGAACATGGTGTTCCATGCATATATGCAGGCGCTTTGTCCAAGTGTGCGGGCTTTGAGCTACGCTGATAACTACTCCGGCATGGCTCCTGAGGCATTTTCTCTCGCCCGAGGCATCAACGCCATGGGCGCATGCTGCGACATGTTGGATTTGCAACTTGACTCCTCCAAGACATTTGTGTGGTCAACTGATCCTGAACAGCGTAAGGTTCTCAGGGCCATGAAACTTAACGTTGTGGAGCACGCCAGGGAGCTTGGCGGATATTTGTCATTTTGTGCCGCCACGCGCAACGCGGCATTGGTTGCTCGCATACACGCGTTGCAGCCTCAGTGGCAGGCCTTGGGCCGCGCCAGGTCCCCTTTAGCGTCCAAGCTAGCGATCCTCCCCAACAAATTCTGGGCCTTTGCCTTGCATGGGATTGCGGGATGTCCTTTGGCATCTTCCCATTTGTCTGGCCTGCGTGCTTCTGCGGTCAAAGCGATTCGATCACACTCAGCTGGATCGAGCGCCCTCCTACGTTTGAGTCTTGTTCCATCATGCCTGGCTGACCCAGGTTTCTATCAGCTCAAGACCACTGTTGTCGATGTGCGCAGGGTCCTACTCAAACAGCCTGCGTTGTTGTTGGACTGGAAGGTTTTCCAGGATCGTTACGCTGGAGACGGTTACCAGGGTCCTTTCTCCAAGTTGGTGGTAGTGTTGGGGCAGGTGGGCTGGAGCATCCTTGAGCCTCCGCTTCTTCAGGACCATGAAGGCCTGGTTCACCATTTGTTGTCCATGCCCCAAGCCCTTTTGATCAGGCTTTTGGAGCATGCTTGGCTCCAATATGTCGCTTCGCAGCATGTGCACCGCAAGACCATGGTGGACTTGGACGGGCTCGAACCTTCCCTGCTTCACATTGACCACAGCCGCCTCACTCCTCTCGAGTCGTCACGTCTTGCCGCGATCCAGTCGGGGGCCTTCCTGTTTCCTGCCCAACATAGGAGGTTTGATTTGACGGTTTCAGGGTTGTGCAAGGAGTGCCAGGTTCCCGATGATGTCCAGCACAGGATTTGTGATTGTCCTCTGTATGCACAGGCCAGGCAGCATTGTCAATCAGTTGTGGAACAGTGGGCAAATTTGCCAGTGTGTCTGACGCATCACCTCTTGGTTCCGCGCATGCCGGAGATGACTGCTTTCCGAGTCGCGCTCGGCAGCATCGCCGACACCACTGCGGAATTTTGGTCTTCCAGAACGACGCTGGGCCGGCAGAACATTTTCACGGATGGGACATGCACTCAACCCGCTATGGCAGATTGCGCGATTGCAGCGTGGAGCGTGGTGCATGCTGGCACGGGTGACGTCATTGCATGTGGGCCCTTACACGGGCAGCTCCAGACAACTCCTCGAGCAGAAATGACTGCCGCTATTGCCGCACTTCGCTGGATCATCAGTCGGCGAGTAACAGCAACACTTTGGATGGATGCCTACCACATCGCTTCCGGCATCAATGGTCTCATTCAAGGTGGGCATGTTTCGGCGCAAGCAGAAAATGGTGATCTGTGGCAAACGTTGTCCGCACTGGTGGAGCAGCTGGAGCCAGCGCAGGCACAGATCCAACATGTTCCCTCCCATCTTGATCCGCATCAGTGCACTGATGAATTTGAGATCTGGGCGTCTACGTGGAACCAGCATGCTGACACCGTGGCGGCCGTTGCAAACGCAAGCAGATCGTTGGAGTTCCTGCAGCTCCTTGAGGGCATTGGCGAGAAGTATGATCGCCAGGCCAACGTGATCCGTCAACTTCGTAGTATGTTCTTTGCTATCGCAGATGTACAGCAAACTTTGCGTCCGGAGGTTGAGCCTGTTGCACCAGATGTCGTCGAGATATCTTTGCCCCTGGTTGATGTACAGTTTAGGCTCTCGGATTTGACCCCGCTGGGGTGGAGGCAGTTGCTTGATAGTACCCCCTCCGCGCTCCCAGCTGGTTTTCTTAGGAGTGTCGCGGCTTTGCTTTTGGAGCAGGATGCCAACCATGATCAGGTTTGCCTTGTTTCGACTTTGGAGCTCACGGTTTGGATTGTCGGGGCTGGTGTTGCCTTTCCGGTCCAAGACCCGGTGAGCAACAGTTGGGTTGATCCTGCTTCCATCGTTTATAAGGAACCGCACCAGACTTTGGCTGTACAGGTGCGTCTGGTTCGCAAGGCGCTGCGGATCCTAGTTAAGCTTTTTCACGCAGAGTCCTGTTGGATTGGAGGCATCAACTTGACGGACCTGGGGGTTACTATGCCTTTTGATGGGTTGGGGCTTGGTGTGGATGTTGGGGTTTTCCAGGCATGCCGCCAACGGATTCAGGACTTTTGTTCACGACGCCCAATTCGGGCAAGCCGTGATTTAGCTCGGCCGCTTTGACGTTGACTCGGACTTCCAGGCATGGCGCACTGCACTGCGTCTCAGCTGTGCATGCGCTTCTCAGCTTCGTGTGATATCTGTATTAAGAAGGCTCCTCAAATTCAAATAGAACAACAACCTACCCTCTCCCCCAACCCGCCTATACGTAGTCCCATCGTGGTTGTTTATTGTACGCTTGAAGCCCTATTTAGCAGGAAAGGCCCAGGCTAGACCCGAGACATGAGCCCCACACCCTATTCACGTGGACACTAAACACTCATCTCCTTGGAAACCCCCTAACCCCTAAACCCTAAACCCTAAACCCTAAACCCTAAGCCCTGAACCCTGAACCCCTGAACCCTAAACCCCAGACCAAGCAATTCCTGACTCAGCCAGGCTTCCCACTGTGCACCAGTTCAGGACCAAAAACCTGCGCAGGATTCATATGATAGAGGGGACTGAATAAATAGAATAGGATTTGAGGGCTCCGGGTTTAGGGCTACTATAGGGGCCTGAATAACTAGAACAGGGCTTTGGGGGGGGGGGGGTATAATTAAAGGGACCCTGAAAGAAGTACGTTAGTAGATCTTCCGACCCCTATACTGGGATGAGCGTTTCAAAACGCGAGAACAACTTGCTCAGGTTTGTCCATGGGGTGATGTCTTCATTTTGCTCTGTGGCTGCATGGCGTTGGAAAGTCGAGGGGCCGTCACGCTTGTGTTTGCTGCTCCTGTTTCAGGGGTCCTGTCATATGCTCGGCACCGGGGTTAGGTAAGCAACATACCTAGCCCCTGGACCCTCGTTGAACCTGGACCTCCAAAGACTCTGGCCCCAAACCCTTAGCTATATTAGGAACCAAATCAACTAGACAAACCTAAACCTGAAACCCTTGTCGGCTTAAAAAAAAACCTAAACCCTAAACCCTAAACCCTAAACCCTAAACCCTAAACCCTAAAAAACTAAAACGGAGCCCAAGGGACGAGGCCAGCGTCTCTCCCACCAGGTTCAGGGTAGTCTGGGTCCGGTCGCTTTCCGTGCCACTACCTTGGGGACCGAATGGTACCCCAAGATTGGGGTCATACACCCTAGACTACTAGAATCCCTATTAAGGTAATATGAACCCTATTAAGGTATAGAATCCCTATTAAGGCAATAGGAACCATAAACCTTTTTTTTGGGCTCATAATTTGGTCCTCCAGGTACTCCATAAAACCGCGATCGCTGCCATGGACAGGGCAACCAAGTTCATGACCATGTTCCAGTTTTTTACATCGACCGCAACCTCGGCAGCTGCGACTGAAATCTCTCTCTCTTGGTTTAGGGTTTCGGGTTTCGGGTTTAGGGTTTATAGACCCTGAACTGTGTATCGAAAGCCAAGAATTAGGGCCTTACATGGCCTTCAACTCACGTCAAGTAGGTCCTGGAGCTTCTGCAAAACAAGGGGAACCTGCAATCTGCATGTGAAAGCAATCAACCAGTCCAACCAGTCCCAGCAACGCCAAGCAAGAGCCCCAGCACCGACGCCAATCCCATGTTCTGCATGGCCTGTCGCAGTTCCTGCCAGTTGGAAGCCCTGGCAATCCTTAGTTGCTGAGTCCATAAGCCCCCAACAAGTGTACACTTTCAGTTCTATAGGAGATTGTACATCCCAAAAAGGTGTCAGTCAAGTGTACTCAGCTACTAAGAATCAGGATGACCTTGCCCTGTTCTTGGGCCAGGTAGGCCTCATATGCACACCAGAGTCTGGTGTAGATCGAACGATGGTGATTTGGCACGACCAGCACGTCCGAGGAAGCCTCGAGTGCGATCGCGAAGGGTGACCGGTGAGGAGACTCCAGCATACTGGAGATGTCGAGATGCTGGGGGTTCGCCAGCATGCAGCACCAGGCATTTCGGCTGCCCCGCGGCCAGGAGTGCAGGACTTTTGAGATGAACTCGAAGATGCCCTCCTGCCAAGCGTGGCTGATGAAGAGGTCGCAGTCTAAACCTTCCGGGTTCCGCATCAAGGCCCAGCTCATCTTGCCCGCCAGCTCGGTGACGGGCTTGATGTGCTGCTCCGTGACGGTGTAGATGCTCGGACCATGCTCCAGCGAGTCAAGGAAGTCGTCAGTTCCATCCTCCGGAGGCTCAATCGCCCCCTTCTTGATGGCCTCTTTGACCTCGGAGGTCAGGAACCTCAGGTCCTCCTTGGTCACACACCAGCGGTCTGGTGGCACGAAGTGGTGCAAGTCGATGGCTTCCACTGTTCTGGACCGCATGGGGGCGAAAGCATGGGACTGCACCGGAGGGGTTTAGGGTTTAGGGTTTGGGGTTTAGGGTATCGGGTTTAGGGTTTGGGGTTTAGGGTTTCGGGTTTAGGAACTTTCGTGAACAGGAATGCTCCAGTGTCTACAACGCTCTTCGAACTCAAGTCCGAACCCACTGCCTCTCTCTTCTTTTGGCCTTGACGGCATGCATGCCTTGGAGACGACATGAGCCCTAACAGGGTTTATGGTTCATTTGCCCTGATGGAAGTTATAGTAATAAGGGTTTAGGGTTTAGGGTTTAGGGCCCAATTTTAGGGTTCATTTGGTTCTCAAGGTCCCAGACCGTAGACAGCCTTGAGTGCAGCGTCGGGGGTGCGGCTGCCAGAGCATCACAGTCCGGGACCTTCGTACCTACGAAAGCCCTGAAACCTCAACCCCACACCCTCTGCACCTCTTAGCTGCACCAGGGGGCTGATGCACATGACGGACCCTTTGAGTACCTTCAACCATTCATATGCCGCAATACCAATGCAGTCCCTCAGGTTGTGATGAGGCGTCCATGAGCCTACCATCTTTCCGCTCATGGCCATGGTCCTTTCTGGAACCCATAACCCCCCAACGTTGAGATCGCATCCTCTCGTGGTTTAGGATTTGGGCCCTTGGGCGTGGTAAACCCCAAAACCCCAAGCCCTAACTCCCCTACACCCTAGCCCCGTGCATCATAGCACGATCGTGTGAAGCATGGGGTGTCCACCCTGCGAGCTGTTATCCGTTTCCGCCTGTTGTAGCTGGGCTCCGATTTTTTGGCGCTTGCTGTGCTATTGTTTGCGAGGTTTGGAGTTCAAGGTCGCATTTTTCAGGCTCAGGAATCCTAAACCCTAAACCCTAAACCCTGGCGGGTCCACAACAGACCCGCGCAAAACTGTGGCCCCACCAGCAAACCTGAGATGCAGGACTTAGGTCACCGCCTTTAGTGTTGAGAAATGATGCCTTTCTGCTCCCCAGTGCGCCTAAAAGCAAGAACTTCCAACCATTTCTGCCCAGAAGAAGGTTTAACCTTTTCGGAACGGATTACACGATGTAAATCATGGACGTCATCATGCTTGGGCCATGGATGCTCTCTTCTCATCAGAACAGAGTAGACCATGGACGTCATCATGCTTGGGCCATGGACACTCTCTTCCCAGAACGGGATTAGACTATGGACGTCATCATGGTTGGGCCATGGATGCTCTCTTCTAACTATGGTGAAGCAAACGTGTTATTTTGACCCAGGGCTGGGCAGAAGCGGATGCAAGCAAGACAGGGCTTAGTTTAGGACTTGTCGAAAGTGCGAAGTAGTGCAAAAAAAACCACAAATACCAGTGCAGTCTACGGATGCCCAAAAAATTGTTGGATAATTTTGGATGAAAATTGCGGGGATGAGGTGATGGGCGAAACCCAGGAAACATCGGTATTTGCAGGGGATTCTGAGGGCAACAGAGCTAAACTGCCGAAAACGCGTGGGTCTGCTATGGCCCCGCCTAGCCCTAAACCCTAAACCCTAAACCCTAAACCCTAAACCCTAAACCCTAAACCCTAAACCCTAAACCCTAAACCCAGGGCTTCTTGGGATGCCAATCTACACCTGGCAGAGCTGTGAACGATCCTTCGGATGCGCGGACAATACTGAAATAAGGCTGTACTGTTTTTGCTTCAGGGTCTGAGGATGGGAACTACCCGCTGTCTTTCAGAAGAACCCTGGTCATGTCATCAGGTATTCCCTGAACCTGCAGTGGCAGTAGCCTGGAGACACTGCTAGGTAGCTAGGGTTTGGCGGGTTTGGGGTCGACGGCTTTGACACCACGGGCCCATGGGCCCGATGAGACCCTAGAAGCCCTCCCTACACCCTAATTAAACCCTAAACCCTAAACCCTAAACCCTATAAACCCTATAAACCCTAAACCCTAAACCCTAAACCCCGCAGGTTCTTTTAGGCTGAGATGTTGGCCCTGGATAGGATGGGGGGGGTTCACGGGCAGTAGGCGAAGACAAGGCAAAACCTGCGCAGTCTGTTCTCACCTCAAGCCTCGGTCTCGAGGGGGGGCTTCTGGAAAAAATCGATCTTTTATACATCATATGTATTTCTATATATATATATATATATATACACACACGCATACGTATATGTATTTAGGATTAGTTATGCAATAAATGTGCGATGAGTGTAAGAATAAAGATACAGTATAATAAAACATACTAGTAATTACTAGTATAAAATGATATTATAAACATGAATTAACTATAAAAAAAAAATATATATATATATATACATATGATTCAACATGCCATCATGGGGTTCAGGAAGTGCTGGACCACTCCGAGGTATCGCCCTCGCTGTCCTCGACTTCGCCTGGACGATGGCACGCATCGCCGGCTGTTGCCCGGCAGGAGCGAAAGGTTCTGCTCATGAGCACTCGCAGTATGCAGAGTCCGCACCTGGGCTTGGGTGTAGCGCTTTTTGTTGCCACCCGACGAGCCACGTTTGGCGTTCAGGGTTCGGGGTTTAGGGTTTAGGGCAAACTTGGAGAAAAAGGCTTGAAGCTTCGTGGCCTTAGAGTTTTTAGGGCTCGCCAAGTTACGATTCTGGTCGCACATATACAAAGCCCTTCCAAAAAAGTGTCCAGGCACCAGGGGATCTCTGCCGTGCCCCTTATGCCCAGCAGGGCAAAGAAGAAGCAGGGTGTGTAGGTGATGAGCTGAGCCAGTAAGAATCCCTGCCTGAGTGAGGGGGCAGTCTCGCTCTTCGCATCCAACTCCCACCTCATGAGATTTGGGATCAAGCCTGCGAGGTAGATCATGGCCTTACTTCTCCAGTCACCAAGGGGAAAAATGGTTAAACTTTATTATTCCTACTGAATACGGAAACCCAAAAAGCTTAAAGTTCAGCTCTTGGAGAAGTAAGTGGCAACCTTCTGTATCACCAAATGGATGAAGCATCGTTCATCTCGAGCTCTTCGGAACATAAGAACCAGCATGCAACATCGTAGCAACACCGACACTGCCTCCAGGAGCCTCCGCGTCCCACGCATCCGATGATGGTCCTTGGATCGCAAGAGAAAAGCAGAAGACCCTAAACCCTATACCCCTAAACCATAAACCCACAAAACTCGCGCCCAGGGAGGGGGACGAAAGCTCACTAAGGTTTGTAGGGCTCAGTGGTCCCCGGGACTGCAACCCTAAACCCTAAACCGTAAATTGTCGGTGAACCCCAAACCTTGACTCGGAAGCCAAGCTAGGGTTTATAGTAGTATAGGGTATATGACACCGATTTTTGGGTTTAGTTGGTACCAGTACCCAAGGGAGGGCGAGCCCCAGACAAACCCACACGAAGCATGAGCAATGGTATTTGCTGAAGACAAAAGCAAAAGGGACTCCAGAACAGTAGAGCAAGCCTGGCAAATTATTGGCGCGATGCTGAAATGCAAACGCGCGCATGCGCATTTAGTACAGCTTCGGCCTTGAGCGGAATGGTGGGCGCGGTAAGGGGCACAGAACAACGACCCCACGTGACAAATCTTTTGAAACAAAAGAGGCTCTACGCCTCCTTTTGGGGGGCCCTGATAAGAAAACAACCCCGCGGAGTGTATACAGGGAGCCTAAACCCTAAACCCTAATTGAACCCTAAACCCTGAAGTCCTACACCTGGAGAGTGATCCCTGACCAGTATTTGGAGTTTTTGGGGCTCACGGGGTTCCGCTTTCTTAGTCTTCGTATGGGCCCTTCAAAGGGCTTCAAAGGGGGCTCAACTTATATACCCCTGTTTTTAACCTACACAACCCAACGCATACCTCAGAACCGGAGATAAGGGACCGTCTTAAGCGCCCATATATCGAACCTCAGACCCTCTTTTCAAGCCCCGCCCTATTCCGGACCCCCTTTGCGCCACCCATCGACCCTGCCCAGTCTTATCCGACTTACTTTAGGGTTCAGGGTTCAGGTTTAGGGTTTAGGGTTTAGGGTTTAGGGTTTAGGGTTTAGGGTTTCGGGTCCACCATCAGCAACCCCTCGTTTCTCCAAAACAGCCTTTCTCCAAGCCTCCAGCGGAGGGTACGGGGATTCGATGGGGAGTATGGCGCCGAAGTCGGGGACACGCCTCCCCTTCAGCTACGCAGAGGCTTAACAACCCAACAACAATGGGGTTTAGGGTTTAGGGTTTAGGGTTTAGGGTTTAGGGTTTAGGGTTTAGGGTTTAGCTTGGGATGATCCCCCCTTATACTAACAGTCCTTAAACGGGACTAGAATAGGGGTACTATAATCCCAAAAAAGGACTGCTAGAATAAGGAACATCCCAAGGAACAGCTACGACGGAGAAGCAGTTCGGCCACCGTAGACTTGTGCCAGGCAGGTGGAACTAATACTAACCCCTAAACTCTAAACCACTCGCAACTAGCTGCTGATCCCTTTCCGGTTCGCCGAACGGTTTCCTGTCCAGAACCCACAGGACAGTACATTGCATATCAAGGCCGTAAATCAGATCGTGTACGGTTATTTTCTTGGGCAAGGGGCAAGGTTGCAGGGTTGCAGACACAATGTTAACCCAAAGTCCAAGCGTCGAGGTAAAAGACATCACAGAGCAGGGCCACAAGACGAATCCTGTTCACCATGGGCGTCGTTGCTTGCGGGGGCGGGGGCGGGGGGGGGGGGGGGGTCGTTCGTTGCCGTTGCTTAAACTTCTGGAGCTCATTTCCTGAAGTTGGGTGTTCGACTCTCCTCCAACTTCGGATATCATGGCAGTCGCAAAAAAGGTACTCAAAAAACGTTAAGCAATGAGGGGCATAGCGTCAAGTTGAGCGGCACCAGCACTAAAAACGACACGGTCACCTGGGGATTGGCCACCTGGTCGATGTTGATGCCCTTGAGCGCCACGTGGCGCAAGGTTGGTGACGACATGCCGGCTGCCAAGAGTACCTGGGGAGGCCCGGGAACTATAATGCCCGTCATGATGATATGATGAAAGTCTGTATGGAAATACAGCTGCTACAAGGCTCAATCACAGGACTACCGTCGAAGCCAACCCTTAAGTTTACCCTGCCCGAGTAGTGCGTAGGAATTCAAGGCGACCCGCAGGAACATTGTGCCAAAAGCCAGAAGGAACATCCATCAGGCCTTGATTGCATAGTCAACCGCATCGACATTGTCGCCGATCTCCCGACGAATCTCTTCGGAATCTGCCTGCCAGCGTGACAAGTCGATCTGCGAACACGTGGACATTTTCGACCCGTGCTACACGGATAGCATCTAGCAGCAATATGGGGAACCAAGAGACCCCCCCCCCCCCAGGAAAAAAAGGCCCCGCATTTTTGAGCAAGACACCCTAAGCTAGAGTCCCTTTTGGGCTCCTATTGTGACTTGGACCCTTATAATTCGCCTCCCCCTCCAGCCGACAGGGGTCTGGAAAGAAAAAGCAGACCAGGATCTGGCCCCTTCCCTTCTTCCCAACCCACAACCAATCACCCCCCCCCCCCCCCCCCCCCCGTCCTGCTCCCCTGAGCTGCCAAACTTGCTTGAGGGGCAGCTGCAATCCGCTTTTGCCCAGACCTGTTGAAACCTCTGTTGGGACCCAGACGACATCCTTCCGGCTTGTCGGTAAGAGAGCCCTGTCTTTGTTGCCTTCTCTTGACTTCGTGGCAGCTGCCACCAGTACCCCAGCTTTGCTCCGCACCAGGCATCAGAGCGCAACAAATGCACCGAAGGCCGCCGGTGCTAGCCTTCGCTATACTAATCAAGGCAGACCATGGCTTCAGGGCTCCTCCAGCAAACCTATATAGATCCCCCAAAGCTCACACACGCTGTGGGTTCAAGGTTTCTGGTTTTACTCTCCGGCATCATCTTGAACCCTAACAACTAAAACCCTACAACCCCACAACCCCACAACCCTAAACCCCATAACCCTAAACCCTAAACCCTAAAACCCAAAAACCCTAAGCTCTGCAGCCCGACCGTGCGGACGGGAACTCCGAGGTGCACTCGCTTGGAGCGCCGACGTGCACGTCCCGTGGACCGGCGAACAACTAGGCGATCCCAACAACCATACAAGGTTTAGGTTTTTTTTTTTTAACAACCCTTCGCTCCTTTTCGGGCGAGCTTACAGCTAGGGTAGGTTACGAGGTTTAGGGTTTAGGGTTTCGACTCTCACACTGGCACAAGCGGGCGAGGCAACTCCTGTCGAGATCTCTAGAGTGGGTGCAGGGTTTAGGGTTTAGGGTTTAGGGTTTAGGGTTTAGGGTTTAAGGTTTGGGGTTTGGGGCTTGGGGTTTAGGGCTACTTGAAGGTTCATGGGTAGTTTTTAGCAATTGTTTTTTTTAATGCCGTAAGTGAGTATATAACCAACTATAAATAGTTACCCTACTCTTAACCCACTTATAACTACCCATGAACCTCCAAGTACCTTGGAGGCTGGCTGATCAAGCAATGGGCGCTGCACTCTATACAAACCTAGGACAGGAATCCTTCCCAAAAACCCTAAACCCACTCGCGATGTGCATCATGGTGCCCTATGCTGCCTACAAGTAGGTTTGGATTTCCCGTAGGTTTTGCAGGGTTTATACCAGGGTCAAATTAGGGTGTGCAAGGCCCCAAAATCAACCATGCACCATTTCATCGCAATTAAACAAGAACCGCGGACTTCCGAAAGCCAACATTGGTGGTATTCATATTCGGCGAAGGCATCGGGTTGGGGCTTGGTTGGGCCGGCATGGCCGGCTAGCCAGGCTAGGCCGACGCGTTGGGCAAAATTTAGCATCTTATGCACCCTTGTGTTTTTGGGTTGTTGTTGGCTTAGGGTTTAGGTTGAGGGCCAGCCAGCATTGCAACTTGAAGTTAACAAAGCAACCCTGTGGAAACATTAGCTCAGGCCTGCCTGCCGCGAGCACGTTGCGTGGACAATGGAGCCCTGGTATCCTGGCGCTGCAGATCTGACAAGCCGAACAAGGAATGAAAGCATCCAGGGCTTTCGACAGGCCTATAGATCAACGATTTGCCGAATTTCTTTCGGGGACAACCAGTACAGGTTTTCACTTTGCCAACCCATTTTGGGCCAGCACCTGTTCCGATCCTTCTCCCTGCTGTCCCTGCAAGTGACAAGGTATATATATATATATACAGACGTAGCTCTTAATCATCCACCCCACCCTTAACCCTAACTCTATAAATTCTCAGCCTCGGAAAATGCGCCCGCCAACGCACCCTCAGCCCCAAAACCCTTTTTGTTAACCCCTAAACCCTAAACCCCAAACACACCCTAAACCCTAAACCCCTAAACCTTAAACCCCGAAGACCTTTTTTTGCAACTGGACTGCGGACAACTGCCAGGAAAAGACACTACCCGCACTTAGCCTCGGCTACAACCCTGTACGTTGCCGAGCCAAGTTGCGGGCATCTCCGAGATGAGCAGCACCAATCTATGCTCTTCCCACACTCCCCGGATCATTGTTGGAAAGATTACAACATTAGCATTTATCCACTCAGACTCACAAAGGAGTTCCACAACCAGAAAATCCCAGAAGCCCATCCGCAGACATTGCAGCTTACGCGCAATGCCCATGGCACTGCCATCACATGGCAGCACGACATCACGACAGGTCCCTGCTCCGGATGCAGTGTGATCAAAGCCCCTTGCACAAGGTGTACTGCAAGCATCCGCCCCTAAAACCCTCAGCCCCAAACCCTATACCCTAAACCCCAAACCCTACAAACCCTAAAGGTCCGCTCCTGCGCCCAGCTGCTCAGCCTCACGACGTGCTGCGATGTCGTTCAAGCGGTCAACCTCGAGGGGTTTAGGGTTTAGGGTTTGGGGTTTAGGGTTTAGGGTTTGGGGTTTGGGGTTTGCGGTTTCTCCAGCTTTAGGGTTTAGGCTTACAGGCGGGTAGGCGGAGTGCGAGATGAGGCAAATCAGGAGCACGCGAAACTCGAAGAGCCATCACAGAACCCCAAAACTACCAAAAACGCAGAGCTTCTTTTTTTCCACTTTACTCGACCCTCAGCAGGTTTGGGGATCCATGACTGCAGAGTCCAAACCCTGAATCCTCCACCCTTTCTAGACCCTGCACATCCGCGGCCCGTCCTGTTGAACACCCCCCAACCCTAAACCCGACCCTCTCTCTCTCTCTCTCTCTCTCTCTCTCTCTCTCTCTCACAGGCTGACCCTAAAATCCAAAATCTTTGCGAACCAACTCTGCCAGGGAAATTTGCGAGCTGTTGAGCTCTGGAGGGACCTGAGTTGCGGTTTAGGGGTTTAAAAGGTACGCTGTGAGGAGCTTCTTCGACCCTGGCTTGGGTAGAGTAACGTTTCTATACCCAAGCCCCCTGCAAGCTGCCTAAGGCTGCATAGTCTAATGCAGGCGCCTGAAAAATAGGTGCGGGATTGTTCTTAAGTATTCTTATATCGGGACCCTACGGGAATATGCTAGTAGGAATTATTCCGACCCCACAGCCCTATCGCAGGTCAACCGGGCGGAGGGCACTCGCATTTTGAGCCGCGACTTGGTAACAAGCAGTCATCGAATAGGTCAGATACCCGCCTCTTGAGCGATCCATCGCCAACAGATGTTGCCCTAAAATAGTACACCACACATGGCACTACCCTAAACCCTAAACCCTAAACCCCAAACAAAAAGCCCTCTTCTAACTGAACATGACAACGCCATGAGGCGAGCAGGGCGAGGCGGGCGAGGCCTCTGAAGCCTCGGGGGCCATCTTCTCATCCCTGCCCGTGTTCTCCGGGCCGGGCAGGGCCACCGAGCAGCGCAGGGGTCCCAACCACAAGCCTCGGATGGCCCCGAAGGGTTTAGGGTTTAGGGTTTAGGGTTTAGGGGTTAGGGGTTCGGCAACCCTCTGCAACGCATTTCGTCATTATGGGGGGTTTCCGAATTTGGGGGTACCTTTTTGGGGCCCCTTATGAAAAGGGAATCCTCCTATTTCGGGGTCTATATAAGGGGTCCCCTATTATGACGTAAACTCTCCTAATTATGGTCCTCTTGAGCCCAAGAAAGGGAAAACAGAAAAAACTCCCAAGGGCCGAGCTCGAAGCTCAGGGCGATGAGCAGCAGCGTGGCTGCCAGCGCCAGCAGGAAGCTCCCGGCGCTCTGCTGCGCCAAGACCACCATCGAGAGCGACACCAGGGAGCTGCCCAGAAAAGAGAGCGCCGTCAGCAAGGATGCGGCCGAACCTGCGATATCCTCAATTCCTTGGGTGAACTGGCACAGTGCCGAGATGTAAGGAGTCCAGATCACGACCTCTGCAAAGCAGGTGGCGCCCATGAACCACTGTAAGTTCTCGATGTGCAGCAGCCCGGTAAAGGCCAGGCAGCCCGCCGACAGCAGCAAGGGACCCATGGACATCCGGATGGCTTTCAGTGCGTTCATGGATAGCCGGGCCGGAATGTAGGACCCTACAGTGCCGGCAAAGGCCATGAGCGTGATGCACACGGAGGCCCCGTGAAGTGACTGGCGCAAGTCTCGGCGCAACACGATGCCGTTGCTGGCGGCCAGGCCATCGAAGAAGCCTTACTAGCCCAGTAACCATAGTAATATGGGCACCTTTTCTTGGTTGGTTACGCTACAAGGGAACTCATAACCAAAAAGAGGCAAAGGGTACCACTGGGCTACCAAGAAACTCTTAATGAAAAGGCTTGCGATCAAGATCAGAAATCGGCCGCGGTGAACCAAGGTGCGCCGGGCGCAAGCGGCATAGTTCCTTTAAGAGCAGACCAGGCAAAGCTAAGAGCTCTCTCAAATTGGGGAAGGCTAGAAACCCCATCGTCCAGGCTTCCTACTTGCTTCTTAAATTTAAACATGATGCCAGAATGTCGACCCCCTGCGTAAAATGTATAAATCTTGTCAGTTCTCTAAGTTGCTTATAGCGCCTTTCGGACCAACTACTGGAACCCTTTTGAGCCTTTCAAGCCACCCTAAACCCCAAACCCCAAACCCCAAACCCTAAACCCTAAACCCTAAACCCCAAACCCCAAACCCCAAGCCCTAAACCCTCAACCCTCTGTTGGCCGAGACTCACATCTACGGATGGCGGCGCGCTCTCCTCCCAGGACTCAGAGGTGCCCCTAAACCCAAGCTCATGAGTCCTCCGAGGCCTGCATGTAGGGTTTAGGGCTTAGGGCTTAGGGCTTAGGGCTTAGGGCTTAGGGTTTAGGGTTTAGGGTTTAGGGTTTAGGGTTTAGGGTTTAGGGTTTAGGGTTGCGCTCAGGGGGCGGTTGCACCCTCGCCTTGCGGGTTTTGCCATCAAACTTCTTGCCTCCACGACGACCAAGCTGAAGACCACGAGAAGCCCCGACAGCGAGCTGAGAACGAAGAAGGGTAGCCGCCTTTGTAGCCACAAACCCCTCTACAAGAAAAAAAACGCCGCTGAAAAAGACAAGCTACTGCCCATATATCAAGGGTGTGGGATTAGCATCGGTTGTTAAATCGGTCTCATCCTCCAGGGTTCTACCAACACCATACTCCCCTTAGAACCCTAATACATATAATGTGTTTAATATCCTCTTGGGTGTTATATGAACAAAAAATAATTCCCAAGGGGGGATATAGAACAAACAACAGTCTGAGGAGCCCAAGAAAGCCAAATGCGACTTGGACGCCAGCCACATGCATCGGCAAGGAAGCCCCCTGCCGCTGGGGCCGCCAGGGGGCCCAATTGCCTCGGGCTTCAAGAAAGTCTAAACTCTAATCAAGACCCTAAACCCATACTAAGAACCACGTCAACCCTTTTTTGACATAGAGACCTTCCACAATGCGAGCCCTCCTTGGTAAACCCCTCAAATCCCTGCACAGCCTCCAGACTGAAATGCAGAAACAGCAAACAACACCCAGACACCCTTAGGGTCCTCAAGGCATAGGGCCTATGCCTTGAGGACCACATGTACCCCAAAATTGGGGTCATATACCCCATACTGCTATAATTCCAAATAGGGTACATAAACTATAAACCCTTTCAGGGCTCATTTGGTCCTCAACGGTAAACCAAACTATGATTAAGATCACTCCCGGATGCATAAGTCTCGGATTCCAACAGCTCAAGCAGGCGTTAGGGATCGACTCAGTTCGCAGGGTTTTGGGAGGTGGTGTCTTAGGTTTCAGTTCAAGCCTTAGTGTCATATCTATATCTACCTATCTATCTATATATGGATGTATATATAGGAATTTTGTTTTTGTGTTGTTCTTTTATTTTTTTTGTTTGGGGGGGGGGGGGGGTGGAGGGTTAGAAGCACCCTGGGTTTTACGGGCTATCTTGCTTATCACCCCTGTTGACACTCATGAATCGTCAAGGAGGGTTCTGGGCCGCTTTTGGGGAAATTTCTGGAGGGCCTTCGCGTCGCCACCTACCACTGCAAGAATCGCTAGGAGGCCAGGTCTTCTTCGGGTTCGGGGTTCAGGGCGTAGGGCCTAATTCATGAATTAAACAGTCCCGGCTGCATCAGCGTCCCCAGTGTGCCCTGGTGCTTGAGTCTGTCAGTCATGTCCGCGTAGCCTTGAGGGGGACTTTAAACCCTAAACCCGAAACCCTAAACCCTAAGCCCTAAACCCTAAACCAGGTTCGCAGGTTCAGGGTCCTAGCGGCTCGGATGACAGGAGTTGCTGAAACATACCTCCCATGTTTGCACAACGTGAATTCAAGAGGGTGAATTCCAGAGGGTGCGACTTAAGAAGTAAGCCCCCCAAAAACAAAATTCCAAATTTAGACGTTCCAACTTCAAAGGCCTTGAAACCGCCCCCAACATGCCTTCAAAATCAACGAAGTCCGGTCTGAACATCAAAAGAACCATACTGAGATTTAGCATCTCAAGCCCGAAGCCCTCGATGCAGGCCCAGGGAACAGTCCGGGATGGTGGAGAGGATGACCGGTGTCACTGCTGCCGCCATGCCCTTCGCTCATAGGTCATAGGCTTCGCTTAAGAACCCAGGGCTGAGAGTAGGGTTTAGGATTTAGGGTTTAGGGTTAGGAAACCCTAAATCCTGCACCCTAAGCCCAAACCCGCAAAACTGTGAACCGTGCCCAACCCACCAGCCGGACCTGGAAGATGCGGCCCACGACAAACCAGGAATACGTCTCAGCGCAGCCACAGCACCTGGGTTTGGATGTCTGAGACGTGGCTCTGTCTAAAGTGATTTTCTTTTGTTGCATGCTCTGCAGGGGTTGGGTTTAGCCTTCAGCGGTTACAAAAGGCATCTGTGCATATCTGTGCCAGTGCATGTGCTCTTGTGTTTTAGGTCTGCAATGCCGCACCCTCAAACCCCCAGCACTAAAATCATGAGGCAACAGTCCCCCAAAGCCTGTTGACCCTTGCTTCAACTTTCTCTTCGTTTTGAAAAACCACCATTTCTGACACCTACCTTCCTAAATTCAACGTTGGCCCTGGCGTCAAGGGTGCCAGATAGCTCAGCCCTAAACCGTCATAAGAAGGGGAAGGCCATTCCCTAAGCCCGAAACCCTAAATCCTAGAACAAACAATAAGGGGAAAGAAGGGGAAAAGCCATTCCCTAAACCCTTAAACCCTAAACCCTTAGCCCTAAACCCTAAACCCTAAACCCTAGAACCAATACTAAGGGGAAAGCCATTCCAAGAATGCCGAAACCGAGCCACAGTGTGCTCACCGTCAGCAACACCTGGCCTCCCAGGATCACCTGGGAAGTAGGGCTTAGGGTTTTTTAGGGTTTTTGTGGTGCTTAGGGTTTTTCAGGGTTTTTAGGGCTTTTAAGAGTGTTTAGGGTTTTTTAGGGTTGTTTAGGGTTTTTTTGGGGTGGTTTAGATGCTAAACCCTCAAACCCCTCTGCATGATGACGAACTTTTGCCCCCCCCCCCCCCCAAACACCCCCCAAAAAAACCTTCGTTATACGCTGATACATGTATGACATACCGTCTAGTCCTAAGCCCCTTGTAATCCCGAACCCCATCTAAACCCCACACCCCGAACTGCCGAAGGGCCAGCTTGGACTTACATGCCTTGGGTTTCGGCATTTCGGGCTTCGTTGAGGTATGGGGGGCTTCCGAAACTAGGGGTGCCTTACTGGGGTCCTCATTACAAGGACATCGTACTATTTAGGGGTCTATTATAGGGGTCCCCTGTTTTCGTAAACTCCCGTCTGTTTGTTGGTGGCATTCTCGAACCTTCGGGCTCAGGCGGAGGTATCTAAGGTACCCTTGGAAAAGAAAGGCTGAAATCGGCTAGGCAGCGGGGCGGCGACCGATATAGTCCGACAGTGGGCCGAAAAGTAGCATGAATATGGCGCTGGTGAACAAGTGGACCTGTATCGTCGCGCCCATGTGCACAGGAAGCACCCCAAAGTCTCGCGCCATGTCTGGCATGCTCGGCTGGTACTGATCGGTGCAAAAGAAATCCAATAGCAGGGTGGAACCCAGGGCTACCAGCATGCTGCGGGACATTCCCTGGCGCTGTTTGCGGGAGCTTTGCCCGCAGAGGGCCCAATATGCAGCAACAATCACTGGGACGGCAACGATCAAGAACTTGGCAACGTCCTGTGGCAATGCACCTGAGGCTCTGGGAACGTAAGATCCATTTTTCTGCACTATCTTGCTGGAAATACCAGGAACACGATCTGAATCCCAACCCTGAATTGACTGAATCCTCCGTTCTAAAGGTTGGACGTGCAAAACAGAATCTGCGATCCGATCCCGATAATTAACTTGTACAGGAGCCAAACAAATCGCCGATGTCACCCCCTTGGATCAGGGTTTAGGGTTTCTATTCAACTAGATGACCAACATATAAACTACTCTTTGTCCCATTCCAAGTAGAATGATTAGGCCCCTGCATATTCGTTCATGGGCATTTCCAGCAAACCCTGAACTTTAAATCCTAAACCCTAAACCCCAAGTAGAATTCAATGCCTTAAAAAAAGAGCCTGTGTTTCACCTTAAGAACCCCTGATCTGCTTTGTGTAGATTCTACCGATCCACCCCTTGTTGGATCCCGAGGTCACCTACAAAAAGTAGGCCTGGGTTAAGGGTTAAGGGTTAAGGGTTAAGGGTTAAGGGTTTAGGGTTTAGGGTTAGGGTTTCTGTGTACCTCCACACCCACTCAGCAGACCTTGCCCACTTCACCCAGGATGGGAGTAAATAGGCTCGAGGGTTCTTTGTGAACGGGCGTTGTCTTGTTTTTTTGTTTGGGGGGGGGGGGGGGGGGGGGGGGGGGGGGGGGGGGGTTAAGTTGTTCATGCAAAGGGAGTCTAAGAGGACGCCATCTTTAGCTCTGTCTTCTGAACCCACGGATAAAAATTTCATATGTTTGCGTTGCAAGTGACAACCCTAAACCCTAAACCCTAAAACCCTAAACCCTCAACCCTCAACCCTAAACCCATCCAAGGGTGTCCAAGGCACTCTCCTGCCGAATCGGCGCGGAGGAGATCTGGAGCAGAACTTGTGCACACTCATTCTCGTGGCCCAAGTCATCATCGCTTGTGCTTGCCATGCCCGGGCAGTGGCTCGTTGCAAGGCTTAAAGGGTTTAGGGTTTAGGGTTTGGGGTTTCGGTTTTAAAATTTTATTGTCAAATCACTTTTTGAATTATGTCATGTGGACTTGCGGGTGGTTTAGAAACGTGGCTGAAGGCTTAGAGTTCGGACAGCAGCGGCAACCTGGAACCGCCCGTGAAGAATGTTTTATGCATATATGTATTTGTTTACTATTATTATTTGTTTATTCATTTATTCATTTTTGAAGTATGGTATACAGAATGCTTCAGAATGCTACATATCCGATGTATCATACATTGTTAATCCTCGATATTTTTTACATTATGATGAAGACCTCTTTGTCTTGAAGCCAGACGGCAGTGCCGGTGTGCACTCGCATCGAAGCCGTACAGGAACTCGAATCGGGCAAGAAGAAACAGCAGGTTCTAGGGTTTAGGGTTTAGGGTGGCTAGCCCTTGTAACACCTTCAGCTTGAGATGTTCCCCCTTATACTAGCAGTCCTGAATGGGGAATAGAGGGTGCTATAACGCTTCTTAAGGACTGTTAGTATAAGAGGGAGCATCCCAAGCTTAAGCCCCAATCTCTGCCTCCAGATAGCAGAAAGCACCTCCAGCAGGATTCAGAGGGATGGCTTGGGCGTCAGAGTTAGGGTTTAGGGTTTAGGGTTTAGGGTTTAGGTTTAGGGTTTAGGGTTTAGGGTTTAGGGTTTAGGGTTTAGGGTTTAGGGTTTAGGGTTTAGGGTTTAGGGTAGAGTGCCTAAGACTCTGCAAACTTAGCAACAGTCGATCGGCAGCACTGCCCTGGCTAAAGCTCGTGCTAGCCTTGCTTGTAACCTACTAACTAACTTCCCTGCTAAGGACAAAACGGATTCATGTATGAATGTATGTGTTGAGCTCAGGTGACCCGAGACTTCTTTGCAAAGACCACATGACGCACAAGTATCACCCGAGCACAAGCACCTCCCTGAAATCTAACCCTGACCCCTCCCGAAAGAGGCCAGCATCCTCAACTCTATCGATAAGATAGGGTTTAGGGTTTAGGGTTTAGGGTTTAGGGTTTAGGGTTTAGGGTTACCCCAAACCTGACAGCCGCGTCGCCTGCAAAAGTGATCAGGTAAAGGCGCTGCTGGATGGCCTTCCCAGGCTTTCTGGAACATGTTTCTCAACATTCTTGGGAGGCCTGAGAACTTCGTTTAGGGTTTAGGGTTTAGGGTTTAGGGTCGCTTCTAAGGTCGGGGATTCGCTTTGGCCACTTCAATGCGCACCCGAGCACGTCGGAACCATATGAACCTGAAGCCCTTCCACAAAGCCCCGGAACCCGAAACCCTAAACCGTAAACCCAAAACCCCTAAACCCTAAACCCTGAACCCTGAACCTCTTTAGTCTTTGCATCTCTACGCTCTTATGCTAAAACCTTTGACCCTTTTTCACTCCGAAGCCCTAAACCCGATTGCCATCCCGAGCCCAGGCTATTCTGCTCTGAGCGTCATCCTGAACAACTGAACCATGAACCACGCAGGAAGATTGGTACTTGCTTGTCGCCCGCCTAGCTGGGTTCAGGGTGAGAGTCGTTGCCTCTCGGGAATGCCCTGGGCCCTAAAGTCCCTCAACACTCTTGAAGCCAGGCAGCGGCGAATCTATAGAGATCTGCATCCTGCTGCTCCCACAGGCCGTGCACAGTGTACCAGTCGAAGATCAGAAAACAGCACATGGCCTGAGGCGTTACAGGGTCATAGGGTTATAGGTTCAGGGTTTAGGGTTAAGATCAGAAACCAGCACATGGCCTCTGAGTGCGAGGCTGGGGCTACGAAGCTTGACCCAACGAGCTTGTGCATCAAAGGAAGCAGATTTCTTGAACCTATCTAGATACATGGTCTTTATCTATCTGTCTATGGTTGTATTACTCAGATATGCACTTGCATGTTTTGTTTAGAATATATGCATGTATATATCATATTATAATATATTATATTATATTATATTATTTGTATGTATGTATCTATTTGTCATGGCACCCTCAGGGAGAAGGACCCCGAACGCAGTGTAGTGCACATCCCTACTTTCCTGTGGGCAAAGGATCGTTTCGGTGGAGGGCCTCGGCGTCCATGTAACAGCTCAAAGTAAAACTTAGGGTTTACTCGGCGCTGTCTCCAACATCTGAGCAACTGGGTTTAGGGTTTGAGGAGCCTTAAAGCCTAAACCCTAAACCCTAAACCCTAAACCCTAAACCCTAAACCCTAAACCCTAAACCCTAGGGGTTCAGGGTTTCTCGGGAATTGCTTCTAAACCTGAACTTCGGCCTGTCCAAGAAGGTTCAGCCACTTGCGGAGGTTGTCGCGGCCACTTCCTGCGGCACGTCGAGTTCAGGGCCTAAGCCTTGGTACTACTAGGCTTGCGCGCCCCCAGGCGCCTGGTCGGTTTTCATGTGTGAACGCCCGAAATGCATGGTACTTCCCATGGATTCACGCTTTCGTGTCAAAAACCGGGACAGGCAGGACTTGGTATGGATTTTGCTTGGATGTCCTCAAACATGAGCCTGCAAAGGCTTCAAGTTGAGGGTTCAGCCAGAGTTCGCGCGCAGTGGTAACACGCAGGTTATCATCGTGCCTCTGGTAACACAGACGTTATCATCGTGGGGACACGGATGCTCTGGCCATTCGCACGCAACGAAGCCACGACATGTCGTAAATACCGATGTTCTTGGCGTGTGAAGCGAAAAAAGTACCAGGCGCCACGGGGCGCGCATGGCTGCTGCTACTGCTGCTACTACTACTACTACTACTACTACTACTACTGCTACTACTACTGCTACTACTACTACTACTACTACTACTACTACTACTACTACTACTACTACTACTACTACTACTACTACTACTACTACTACTACTGCTACTACTACTACTACTACTACTACTACTACTACTACTACTACTACTACTACTACTACTACTACTACTACTACTACTACTACTACTACTACTACTACTACTACTACTACTACTACTACTACTACTACTACTACTACTACTACTACTACTACTACTACTACTACTACTACTACTACTACTACTACTACTACTACTACTAGTATACTACTACCACTACTGCCACCACTACCACCACTGCCACCACCACGACCACCACCACGACCACCACCACGACCACCACCACGACCACCACCACGACCACCACCACGACCACCACCACGCCCACCACCACCCCCGCCACCACCCCCGCCACCCCCGCCACCCCCGCCACCCCCGCCACCCCCACCACCCCCACCACCCCCACCACCCCCACCACCCCCACCACCTCCACCACCACCACCACCACCTTTCCTTCGGAAGCCAAACTTTTTCCTGCAAGTTGCCGAACATCGTTTGCAGGCTCTTTGTATATCAGCACGCTGATTTACTGGGCTTCTGAGGTATATGGATACACCCGGCCATGGTTGCGATTTTTTTGCTCTGAAACCTGCAAGGCTACCACCGGCAAAGCCGGTTCAAACCCTAAACCTTGGGAAGTTCCCCCTTATACTACCAGTCCTCCTACTTGGTAGGGATGATAATACCTTCTATTAGAAGCCCTCTTCAGGACTGCTAGTATAAGGGGGAACATCCCAACCTCAACCCCCCAACCCCTGAAGCCAGAAGAAGAGAACATGCCAAGGCTCCCATGCTCAATGCGGCTGCAACAGCAGCGACGCCCACAACCACCTGCGCTTCAGGAAAGGCGTCGCTCACTCTCGTACAAGGCAGGCAAGGTCCGTCGGTCCGAATAGGCTAAATAGGTTCATCGGAGTCCAAAGCCAAGCAGTTGCATGTGCCTCCAGGAAAACCACAGGACGAGTCAGACCCGATCCCCCTACCCCGAGACCCAGCTACTACGTCGGCGCTAGACTCCAACATTGAAACACATCGAGGTTGCACTATAGACGCACAGGGCACCATTTTGAAGGGTTTAGGGTTTAGGGTTTAGGGTTTAGGGAGGGTTTGAAGGGTTTTGGGATTCTTGGTACCCACGAGAAGGGTGCCTTGAACCCAAAAAAGGGCCAAAAGGCACCACTGGACTCCCAAGGATTGAGGGTTTCGGCCTTGCACATAGATAAGCCCGCCGAAACCCTGTAAACCCTAACCCCGATAAACCGCAAGGTAACTACACGGGGGCGCTGAGGGGCTCATGAGGGGCTCATGAGGGGCTCATGAGGCGCCCTTGTTCTGTGGAGGGAAAAACCTTACGCCCCAAAATCCCTCAACCCTGAACCCCTAAACCGAAGGCTGCCAAGAAGCAAGATTGACAGGCAGGGTCTTTGTCCCGACGTCGATCGCCACACCAAGCATCACACCGATCACAGCGACCAGCAGCATCTTCCAAATGGAATTGAGGATGTCTTTGCTGTTCGAGGCTCGGGCAATCAAGATAATCTTGTCCTGCTCTTGGGCTAAATATGCTTCGTAGGCACACCAGAGTCTGGTGTAGATAGAACAGTGACGGTTCGGCACCGCCAGCACGATCTGGGATGCTGCTAAGGCGACTGCAAAAGGTGACTGTCTGGGTGACTGAAGCATGGCCGCGATGTCGAGATGCTGGGGGTTCGCCAGCATGCAGCACCAGGCATGTCGCATGCCCCGCGGCCAGGAGTGCAGGACTTTTGACATGAACTCGAAGATGCCCTCCTGCCAAGCGTGGCTGATGAAGAGGTCGCAGTCTAAACCTTCCGGGTTCCGCATCAACGCCCAGCTCATCTTGCCCGCGAGCTCGGTGACGGGCTTGATGTGCTGCTCAGTGATGGTGTAGATGCTTGGGCCAAAGACTTCGTCTTCGCTGCTAAAATCATCTGACCCATCCGCTGGAGGCTCTACACTGCCGGCCTTGATGGACTGCAAAACAGTCTTTCGCAAGTATCTCAAGTCTGAGAGGGTCACGCACCAGCGGTCTGGGGGGACTCTCTGATGCAGCTCCTGAGCCCACCAAGTCCGGCGTCGAGAGCTCTCCATCTGCATGAGGCCATGTGCATGGATTTGTCAATGCTTGCTTGGTTTTTGCGCCTGTCTGGCTTCTAAAGAGTCTACGTGGGATCTGGTGCACTTGATCCGACTTGATCCATCAAGAGTGCATGCTGAAGTACCAATTGTGCATTCTGGGCCTGACGCACCGTGTGTCCTCACGGCAGGCACTTCGTGCGCAACACTCATCCCGTAGGCAGTAAGCGGCTTCGAAGCATATATGCTTGCCTTGCTGGACTACCAAAGTACCTGTGTAGGCAACCATACTGCCAAGAGCCCGAATTCAACCCTCGACCCGAAACCCGACCAACCGGAATCACTGCAGTAACAAATGTTCAAGCTTCTCCCTAGGAAGCGAACAGCAGGGGACCTGACCCCTTGTAAAAGAAAAAGGTCACTTGGGGGGGAGATCCTCGACACCGGAACATACCAAAGAAGCAAGCTGCGCTTGTAGAACTTCTGCAAGGCTTCCGCACACTCGTCCATGCTCTCTCCCCAGCTGTGTGAGACCATGAGCTCCTGAAGCAAGTGCAGAGAGGTGTATTTACAGGTTCACTTTGGGGGGGGGGTGGTTTCGGTTGGAGCTCAGAAAATGTTGAAGTATCTGTGGCCAGATTCGGCACGGAGCGCGCTCGCGGGGTTCATCCGCAGCGCCACACTGCAGCCTAAGAATGAGAAGGATGCCCGTTCTTGCTTTTGGGATTTCAGATTGAGAAGTAAGGGAGCTCAGAAAAAAGAGACAACATGCGGATAGCGCTGGAGATTTCAGAGGTTCCCCTAAACCCTAAACCCTAAACCCAAAACCCAAACCCTAAACCCTACCAGCCAGGGCACCAGTGTTTCGCGTCCATGGCTTCACCAGACCGTCGACCTCGGCCCACTTCAACGGGCCACCCTGCTTTTTGGACAGCAGGGCGCACCGAAGAGGTTGTATACAGGGCGCGAAACGCTACATATATATATATATATATATATATATAATGTATATATAATGTATATATATATATGTATATATATATATATACATATACATATATATATATATATAATCTATATATATATATATATATATACAATGCGCAATATATATATATATATATATATATATACATGTATATAAATATGTACACATATATATGTATATATTGGGGGTTCTTATTGTAAGGCGAATCCCACAAGTTGGAACTATATTGTGGGTCCCCTATTTTCGTAAACCCCCATATTGGGTGTAGGGTTTAGGGTTTATTAATATACATACGCTGTAAGGGGTGCATGGGGGAAACTGCCACCCAAAATTTCCGTTGGACGGATACACTCACTCACCGAGGCTAGAGGATCCAGGGCTTGCCGCAGGGCTTGGGGGACGCTTTATCGCTATGTGCAGGCTCAGGTCACGGCAGGCCCGATACAGTTCCCTAAACCCTAAACCCTAAACCCTATAACCCTAAACCCTAAGCCCTAAGCCCGAAACCCCAAGCCCTAAAGAGCCTAAACCCTGCAGGTCGGATTCCCGTCTTTGGGGGCGGCTCCAGGAGTGCTTGGGGTTCCGAAAGCGCAGACGCCCTGCACTTCAGGGTTTAGGGTTTAGGGTTTAGGGTTTAGGGTTTAGGGTTTAGGGTTTAGGGTACGGGGGGCAACCGAAGGAGGACAGGGAACAAGACAGTCAACCCCAACAGAAGCCCTTATTACCCCTGGAACAACCAACAACCGAACAGCAAGACCCCAAACCAAGGGCACACTTTTTACGAAACCTTTGACCGCTTTGGTCATGGCTTGAGCCAAAGATTACCGGGTTCATTGACCCTTCAACTTCCAATACCAACTCCTTTCTACAATACCAATTGCAGCTCCGCACTCCCCCTGTCCTAGGATTTCCTAGGACACATTGGAGGTGCAGATCTTTGGCCAAAAACCGCCATTTAGGCAGCAGCCAGCTGCTTGAAATGCACATTATGGTTTAACGTCATCCAGGACGAACCTTCAGCTCATTGGCTGAATCCTTTACCATTGAGGATTTCTTCACCTCGCACTTGGAAAATTCACGTTCCAGCGGCCCGTTCCTCACCAAGGAACTCAGCATTCACCACCCAGCCATCCTTGAGGCAATGCTTACAAAGCGTTTTAGCCCTGAGTTGTGAATATCGCAGAACATCACAGTCACTGCTTGCGTGCATACAGTTCCCACCCACTGTTGTATACAAAGTGGCACTCGCAGGAATAACCACCGCTTTCTTTATCCACAGCCATTTATACAGCCGTCGAAAGAGGCACCATGCCAGTTCCCAGAGTATAATTGCTGCCACCAAATATGCAACAAGGTCTGAATTGTTGACAACCATTTCAATACCTTGAGCCAGAACCATCACCGTAGACGTGTTGGCGACCTTGCACACCCCTTCTTCTGAGCAAAAGAATCCAGCCGTGGACACTTCTTCGCCACCAATTGCCATCCCTTGCAGAGATGCAGCCACCATCATGACGGCCATTGCAAGCGAGGCCTTTTTCAAGTCAGTCCCTTGTACCAACAGTCGGAGACCCCAAAGTGCCTTTTGCTTTGCATACACCTGTCCACTCATCAACTTAGTCAACAGGTCAGCGATCATATACTCACCGCGAAGATGCGCTATCACCATGTAACCACGGTCCACCAGAGACCTGACACCGGCTGCTCGAATTCTCAGGTGTCTTGTCCTCCAGCTTCCAGCAGGATATTGAATGATCGAGCACGTTGAGACCGAATCTGTATACAGCACTTTTTGCAGCGATTCTTCACCTGTTCCAACCAAAGCGGCAATTATAGGGGTGCACGACTGAATCATCGTTGCTCCCTCTATGGACGCATGTAATTCAGCTTCAGCTGTACTTAAAGCCACCGTTGATTGTCTTTGTGTTGCCCACATCACTGGACAGTCACCCCACACCACCACCGCTCCTGAGTGGCTCTTTTCGTTTTCACCTGCTGCAAAGCTGGCATCCGCGTAGGACTCCACCACCTTAACGCCTCGTCCATAACTCAACACCTCATTTCTTTCTTTTTCGCATGTTGCGATTGCTCCGAACGTCAAGCCTAACGTTGGAGTTGCAGCAAGGTATCGGAAAACCTCCTCAGCCTTTTTAACCACAAATCGCGGCCTTCGGGATGTCCACAAAGACAACTGGCTCGTGCAGAACGCCAAATCAGGTCGAGTTTTGATTGCCACCCAGAGGAACTCCCCTACGGCACCTTGAGCCGCTCGCAAGGAAGGAATATCCACCTCCTCTTCTTCACCTGGAGTTTCTTTCACCATTGGCAGGTTACTCCCTTTTCCAGTTTCATCGATCTGATACCCTCGTCGGTTCAGCAAATCTCTCACAAAGTCCTCCTGGTTGAGAAAGAAGCTGCCATTTCGATACCAGATTTGGACACCCAAAAACTTCAGGAATCCATCACCACAGCCTGGACCACAGAACTCGGGTTCAGAAGTTTTCCACTCCTTCCTAATCTGTTCCAAGGCCTCCCGGAGCACTGTCATAGTCCCAGCCATCAAAAAATCATCCACGTAAAGACCCATTGTCCCTACCAACTTGCTTGTACCTTCCAGCTTCTCTTGCGCCATAATAAGGAACAGACTTGGGTCTGCATTGGACCTCTGAAAGCTCATTGCTTGTCCATCCTTTGACACCCAAGACATCCCTTGAAGACGTTGGTCTCGCCACTCCACCCATGCTGCAGGACTTTCGGCCAAACCATACAAGGCCTTCCTCACAATCCACCGCTCCTCTTTTGTGCAAAGACCCAATTTCACCGCCGCCCTTGGGGGCTGCACCACCACCAAACGCCCTTCTCTTTGCGCCCTATTCATCGGCGCCGTCAGAAAAGCTTTGGAAATGTCTAAGCCAGCGATGATCCACACCATATATGCTGCGTGCCTCACTTGACACCTGAATGTAGTTGAATCTAAACCTGGAGCGTACAGCGAGTGACGACTGAGTGACCTCGGCCCTTCATATTCTGTAGCTGCCGTTGACGAAATTAAATGAAGTTTCCACATGCACAGATACGGGCACGTCGCCTCCCTGTCCCTTGCTTCCGGGTAAACACCACCAGACTGGGAACGTACTCAATCACCGGTGCATTAGGCTCTTGCGCCAATTTGTCCAGCTTTTCTTGAGTTGTTGGTTCCACCACCTCCAACTCTTCCACCAAAGACGTCACCTCGTCCGACAATGATTCCCTCCACTTTTCCAGCTCTTGCATGGCTTCTTGTGTAGGGATTGTTTTTGTCTGCAGAAACTCAACCTCCTCTGCTGCCTCAAGCGCGGTATTTTCTTGTACCATTTGCTGAACTTGAGCTGCTTTGACCAAAAACTTCGAGAGCTGTTCCTCAGCCCTTTTTGCTTTAACCAGCCATTCTCTAGTCTCTGATCCTTTTTCTCCATTCGACTCATTGGCCGATCCATGGAACTCGTCCAAAACGCAACATTCCTGTTCAGCAATTAGGCGTCGAATACTCAAATGCTCCTCTAGAGCCCATTGATGCGCTTCGAACACAGCGTAGTCGACTTCCTCTGCAAGGTCGTCCAGCGAGGTCTCTTTCAACGTCATTTTTAACCATTTCCTTTTTTCACCTTCTTCAGCTTGTGGTTCCGGAAGAGGAAACTTGCATTGGAGAAGATAGCACCTATCCTTGTAGCTCAAACGCTCCATAAAAACAGGTGTGTACCCTGTCAAGGATACCCTGTTCCCTTTCCAAGGCATAGGACCATGCAGTTTTCTCGGAAAGAACGACATGAAGTTCCAGTGGATATCGACCAATTTTCCAGGTAGGACTTTCTTCCCATAAGATTGCTCCACCACTTCAGCTCCTTCCTCTAAAACCTTTTCGTCCTCAACCCACAGCTGACCATCTTTATAGTCACCAAAGCCACACACATAATTGCAGCAATGTTTTTCATTGTGACTATCCCTATGCAATGACACCGGAGCATTGCACGAGATCTGAAGAGCAGAAAATTTGGCTTAAGGATTGTGGTGCCTCACGAATGATGCCAAATAACGACATAGCCATGGTCTTCGATGAGTCTCTTTTGTGATACCACACACTCCGCCATGAGTATAGTGGCCCAACACCAGAGCTCGCGTACTTGTACACCAATTGTTGATACCACCTCTTCGATTCACCCTCTTTGGGTATACAATCCCTTCCAAAAGCTCCTCACAGTCCACGTAATCATACATAGACCTTTCATACATTGACTTGGCTTTTTGCTCTTCCTTTTCCAACTGTGTTCCATCCTCAGCAGTCTCACTTTTGCAGACCAAAAAAGCATTTTTATGAGGAGAACAGCAAGTCGGCCAATACTCATCACCAGGAACATTGTCCTCAACATCTGCATTTTCTTCCAGCTCCCCCAAACCCTGCATGTCATCCTCGAAAATTTCTAGGGGCGGACTCTCCCCCCGCTTGCGAAGCAAGCGCAAGGAGCCCACATGACCACGCAGTGAAGAGGCCGGGCTTTTCTCCATCAACCGATGGCGAGCTGGAGGATCGCGAGGTGGAGGTAAAGGAGGACCTTCCTCATCAGCGAACCGAAGCGCCGGTTTTTTCCCCTTGAGACGATGCTCTGGAGGAGAAGGCTCCTGTTCTTCTACCACCCCTTCCAGCTCCAATTCAGGCGGTTCCTTTATATTGGAAAAAATCGTAGTGCAGGGAAATAACACCAGTTCATCCGGATCTTTTGCAGTCCCTTGAGCTTCCACCCAATAACCACCAGGTAGGTCATCGCATGGACCCAAAAGAAGTGCAGGCTGCGTACGATCGACCCATTGCCGACCTTTCTTTGTTCCATCCGGACCCAGCAACTCCCACGGACGACGTTTGACTTGAATCT